CCCTCTTTTAGGCTCCTGCACAACCATATTGTGCAGCATGAGTCCTAACCCGCTTTAGGTTCCGAGGTTGTTGTGTGGTACGACGTAAACCCTCCTTTCTCTGTGGGTTATTTGCATAATCGGGTATTATGCAAATGTAAGTCCCAAATAATAAAATTGGCAGGATTGAACATTTAAATAACATCATCTCTAAAAATGCAGCCACACATTAGGATAGTTTGGGAAGTCACTGAGGGTTTACCTCGGATCAGTGACATCCCCTACCTTCTCCTTCCTTTGGACTCCTGAAAATAAGTGTTCCTCATTGTGCCATTCCCATTTGGTTTTCCTCATCCTACCTTGAAAACCTGAACCTTGAATTCTTGAAGACTAGAACCATTGATCATTATCGAGAGTTTTCTCAAGTGACTCCCGTCATTTGGGATGTAATTAACTATAGGGGCTTGCCTCTATAGGGAACTTGGAACCCAGGTAAAATAAACCCTATTTAATTTTTGTATTAAATAGGGGAATTTGTCGGTCATATATAAAAGGTTCGCAGACCAAACGGATGTCACAAATCTCTTAGTTTGCAGGATTGGGTCTATCGCTGAGGTCTACACTTATCTCTCGGGAAGGTGTAGTATTCGCGGTATCAGGCACGATTATGCAAACTATCAGACTAATGAGATCCGTTTGGTCTCATTTTTCTAAAATTAAAACATACTACTTTTAAAACTCAAATTATATATCCTTTATATTTAAATTAAATCTCAAAAATTATTTTCATATATCATATTTTTCAAAATTAAATCTAACCGAGAAAAAAAAGTTGACCGACATCTGCATGACAATTTCATGTTCTAAGCGAAAAGGAACTGGCAATGCACCGGGCAAACACATATTCAAAAATCAAAATTGAAGTGATTAGAAAAGAGGAATTTACAATAGATTTTCAATCTGCACTTTTATTTGTGCCCCATTATAATTCGAAAAAGTAACACTTTTCCATGGTGCACAAAGAACTGCATAACAATAGAAACATAGATGCTTAGCTGTTAAACTAGTAATTGCAGCATTCATGATTCTTTCTTCCTCCGATCATATTAGTTAGTTTATGAGTAAAGTGTCAAAATAATCCCTTGATCATGTAGCCATTTTAGTCCTAGAGTCTATAAAAACATCAAATTAATCCCAATTCTTTAAATCAGGGCTGAAATAGTCCTTAGACCGAGGACTATTTCGGGCAATATCAAAAGAGTTTGGGACCAAATAAGCACTTTTATAGACGCTGTGATTGAAATGACCCCTGTAAAAAAAAACTATTTTGAAACTTTTCTCGTTAGCTTACATTTCTTTTATGAAAATGGCATCTGCCAAAACTAGAATTGCTACAAAATTTATGCAGCCATGAAGTGAACTACTTTGTCTAAGAGTTGAAATGCAGTTTGCTAAGTTAACTTTAGTTCATGCATAATGTGACCCAAGAGCATGCCTTTATTCCATATAAGACCCACATACATCATTTTAAATTCAGAAGAATAAAATATTAGCAAATTTTTGCACAATCTGAAGACCAAAAAACTTATAAGTTACGTTAAATGTTCCAATAAAAAAGTACAAAAAAAGAAGAATTTATAAGATAACCAAATGGAAAGAACGAGGGTCCTAACCTATTGATCAGAACAATAACTATGGAGTTGCTGAGGAACTTCACTTGTGGAAGCTTGAGTTGATCAAGCAATAGTCTCAAACTTTGACTGGCTTCGATCGCCAAATCACCAACATTAAGGAGAGGGTGGCCTCCCTTTAACCATGAAATGTTAAATTGAAACCCTAAAATATGATCATCTTGGCTAGAAAAATCACCAACAGCATAATAATTTCAAGTAATAACAGCACATTCAAGAAAAACTTATTTGAAAAAAATAATGGAAATTTACATACAGCACAAAATTCTTGGTATTTACATATCTCGCACCTAAATTTTCATATTTACATATATAGCACTTAGGTGCTTTAAACCTATGCATGAAAGGTGTATTTCAATATTAAAAAGTTAGTAATGGTGGTAATTTTTATGTGATGTTAACGGTTTGAACGGTATGAATGAAAATATTAAAAGTTTAGTGCCAAATATGTAAATATATATAAATTGCTCGGTATGTATGTAACTGCCAGTTCAAAAAAAATAAACTACTACCATCAAATTCTTGGGGAGGATCTGAATGCAAACTTGGATCAGGCGTATAAAGGAGAACCATTGCCTCAATGAACTTCACAGCTAACAGCCTTACACCATCAATCCCAGGCTGGGAAAATAAATAAAAATTACGTGCCAAAAACATGATTTGAAAAACAAAAAATGCATTCCTCACCAAGCACATTGAGGTGAGGTTACCTGGATTGCTAATGGCAATACAGAATTTTTAAATTTCAGCATCGATGCCCAGGATGACTTTGTAATTTCATTTACCTCATTTGAATTTAAACCCTGAATGAGAAGATATTTTAGAAATGATAATTACAGAAGTAATTGTCAAATGACATCAAAAATGTGTTTAAAGAAAAGAAAGGTTAAAGTTAGATGAATCGAGTAGAAAACATGTAATGCACAAATTAAATGGTACAAGGATCAAAAAATCCTTTCTTTGTTTATTCTCTGTATATGTGGCCATTCCTTTCAAGCCATTACAAAAAAGAGCCTAGAGATGTAAGGAAATTATAAGGGGGCATGTTCCATAATACATTTTTGCCTATATAGCATATGAAAAATTCTGCATTGCATTAGTTAAAAAAAAAGGCTTTGAGCAAAATCATTGAGATAAAATTGTCATCCTTTGTTAGCAAATTTAGGAAATAAGTTGAAAGTTAATAAGGAAAAACTTCTGGGTTTTGTCATTAATCATCGAATAAAAAATTTTGTGGTTATATTTTATTTAAAGTAATAAGATTGAATGGGGAACCACCATCTTAAATCATTTCCCAAAAATTTATTCTTTGCCTTGATCAAACTTTTTATCCTTACCTATATGAAATATTAAATGTTGGGTAGGAAATTATGTCATCATTTTTACCTTTTCATTTATTATTATTATTACGTGAGATTGCACCAAAAACATTTACGAGCAAGTTCTAACAAATAACATGCAGCAAAATTTCAATGGTTAAATAGGGTGATTATTATTTATGCCACTCTTATTTCTCTAGAGAATATGTATAAAGCACCCATGTTCCTCAATAGGAGAGTTCCATCAAATTCCATATTCTCAATGATGCCCTTGAATAAAATGTTAACCAAACTCCCTATATCAATCAATTACTATTGATTTGATAAACATCAATTTGCACCAAAACCGCTATGGCATCTTTGCAAGAATTGTACTTAAGTGGCCAGTCAAAACATAAAAAGTTTGATATATGTGATTGGTGTCCGGATGTTGATCACCAAATTCACCTCTCCAGACCTAAGTCACTTGAACTGAACAAATTTTTATACAGTTTGTCCTCATTAGCCAAAATCCCATTTATCTTTTTCGCATTACTACTATCCATCTCCTTCCTCCATCTACTCCGTTGAGTTTTAAATAACAACAACAACAACAACAACAACAGCAACAACAAAGCCTTAATCCCACTACGTGGGGTCAAAATAACAAGTTGATTTAATTTTAAGTCTGTCTTTTGCACAAAATTTAGATATGTTACTTTTAAACTACCCATGTTCCTTGCTAATCATTTCATATAAACTCTACAAACATAACATATTAATGCATCTTTTACCTATTAGCTATTGGCGTATTGATACCACTTCTAGGCCCACTACATATACTCAAATCACCTCAAATTATTTTTCATTTGCTGTATGGAATGTCATTTCTAAATTGTAATATTAAATATTATATCATTAGACAATAAACGCTAACTTTAACAACTGATTTATTTGAAAGGATCTCAACATCGTATGAAACTTTACCAAGTAGCATAACTAAAAAGTTCTCATAGCAACACATAAGCATAAAAGTTCTCATAGCACCCAATTCTTACGAATTTACCTATTTCACACCATAAACTTTCATATTTACAAGCACCATATCAAAATAATACTCATTATCACCTTTTAATAGTCATCCATCTTTTCATCCATAGGTAAAGTGCTATGTGTGTAAAAATAAAGCTTTAGGAGTGAAATACATAAATCCATATTAATTGTGTGCTGCCAATGTAATTTTCCATTTTATTTATTAAAAGTTTGTTTTTTCTTTTGTTTTGTTTTTATTTGGGAACAATTTTATTTTTTGTTTTTGTTTTTCCTTAATATTTCCAAAAAAAAAAAAAAGTATATTATTTACGTGCAATTATATTATGTTTTTAAAAATAAATTAATAACATTTTTAAAATAATAAAAATAATTTTAAGGTGTTTTGAGTATTTTTAAAAACAATCATATTTTAATCAAATATGATTTGTTTCACATCAAAACATAAACAAAATAAATATTAAAAAATAAAAACCAAAAGTGATCACAAACGGCTCCTAAGTTGCCCAAACATTATCAACATCTGAACACGTAAAAGTGTTATAGATAAGACAATATTGAATATTCATTGTTTATTTAAAAAATGATCACCAAATTTTTATTGATCAGAACGACAGTGGACATGTAATAGCTTTTTTGTTGAGTTTACCTGAATTGCAACCTTCACAAAATAATTGCAGAATAATGAAGTCCCAGACAAAATTGCTTGTCGAGCAACCGGAGGTGTTTCATCATTTAAATAGGTTAATAGAGTAGGAACAATAGCAGGCAGAAGTTCTACGTGCTTCTTTCCAATCTCACCAAGTATCCTATATAGGTAACAACACCAATGACAACAGTTAAAAAACTTATACAGGAGAAGAAAAAAATATATTCATTCAATAGTGAGCAAATAACAAAAAGGAAAAAAAAAAGGAGTTTGAATGCGAGAAGAAAATTAGATTGTAAAATATAGTTCTAGAAGCTTCCCATGGCAACCTTTCGTATGATAATTTTGACCGAAAAAAAAAACCATGAAGAAGAGTACGAAAAAACTCATGAATATCATGATCAATGGTGCTAAAGTTGTAAAAATCATGAATAAAAATAATCTTTAATAAATCCATAACATCATATCAATTAACTAAAATGCCAAAAAAAATGTTTGAGAAAATTACTGAAATGGATCAAAAATGCAAAAGGAAAATATATACCATAAGATCAAGAAATTATCTACTTGATGGACCTACAATGGAAACTATAAGCTTACATCACACAATTAAAACAGACCTAGCCATACTAAATACAAACCAAATAAAGAAAATACATTATAAACTGATAGTCTCAATAATCTAAAAAAAAAAAAAACCATTTTAAATTGCATAGATTTCAAAGAGATCAGCCATTGATTTAGTTTTTTGCACCATAAAATAACTATGTATTTACATATCTACACCTAAACTTCAATTTTTACATTTATGTCTTATTATTTATGCATAAAAAGGTATATTTCACTTTTGAAAAGTTAAAATACTGAATTTTTGAAGTGAAATGAAAGATTTGGGTGGCATAATGTAAAAAGTAAAGCTTAGGCGTTAGAAATGTAAATACATAAGAATTGGGGGTATGTATATAAATGCCCCTAACTTTAAACAGATGTGATGCAGGACGTACAAGCGTGGGATCGATCCACACTCCAGCGCCTGGACCGATTGGTCCAGGCAAGGGAACAGTCGATGGGCTCCTCGTCTTAGGTTTGGCACCTCCTTTCAGCATTGGCACCACTCCTAATTTTGTTTCCGGTGTTTTAGGTTTTCAGTTTTGGATTGTGTTTCTGTCATACCAGCTCGGGTAGCTAGACTTTATCTTACCCTTGGGGCTAGCGCTCAGTCATCGGTGTCCCCTATTTTCCGGTCTATGGTTGTATCCAAGAGTGAATGGTGCTACGACTCTTATCTCGTTCTGCGGTGGTGATTCTTCTCCAAGGGTAGAATGGTGCTTTGGCTGTATCTCGCTTCCAATGTGGAATTTATCAACAACTTTCCTTGCCCCACATTAGCTTCATCACCTTCCCTATTGCAGTTGCCCAGAACAGCCTCCTTTGGTTGTTTTCCAGCAATTCCTGCCGACCAGCCACCTTCCCCCTTCTTCCCTCCTTGCTGCAGCAGCATAGAACAGCATCCCGTTGCTGTTCCTTTGCTGTCCTCTGCATAACCTGCCGCTAGCCACCCATTGTGATGTTTCCTATAGCCTCCATCCTTCCCAAAATTTCTCGCGTAACTCTCAAATCGCCGTTACTCACTATTGTCATTCGTAAAACAGCAAACATGCTGATTTTTTGCTGTTCAATCACCCCCTACTCGCTGCCACTCCCAGAAAACAGCTCCAACCACTGTTATACTTCATCCCAGTACCCATACCATCATTCCCACCATTTGCCACCCCTTCCAAGCCCCATAGCCAACCACCGCTACCTCTGGATCGAATCATAATGTGAGTTTGTGTGTCGTGTCTGTTATTATTTTCATATTTCAAAGTGTTGGTTGTAACTGTCTATTGGCTTTTCAGTGATAATATTTGTTTGTTTATTGTTGTTCGAGTTAACTCCGGTATCACATTGTCTTTGCATGTTTCAACTGACAAAATCCGAAATTGAAATATTACAAGCAAGTTATTGATATTGGAGTTGACCAATAATCTGATAGAAAAACAAATTTTATTACTCCAAACAGCGAATTACAATCAAGACTTGAACCAAAACAGAAAACACTGAAAAACTACCAATAACCCGCTAGGGTCGGAGAAAATATCCCTTAGACGGTGGTGAGAGGACGGGTTGCAATGGGTAGTATGGGAGAGGACGGCAACAATCTGGAAGGGAGTAGGTGGCAATTGTGGCGGCTCGGCAAGTAGGAAATAGGGATGGGGAAGAGAGACCAGTGGCTGGAAGCAAGAAACTAGGGAAGAGACTGATGGCCAGAAGCAAAAGGGAGAGAGAGAGGGCTGCATGAGGGCATCAGGTAGAGGTAGTCACTACCTCGGAGCAGGATACAATCAGAGCACCGCCTATCCACAAACAAGGCCATAGTAAAGGAAAAAGCCTAGTGGCCAGGAATCTGAAATCAACAAAAATAAAAAAATGAACGCTAAAACAATAAACTACGTACTTATAATAAGATACGCAGGAGGTGGGGGAAAAGGGCGATATTTCCCGCTCAATATTAGTCGTACTTATAATGAACTACAACTTTAGCTACCAAAATTATGGTTCCTCCACAGAAATTTACATATTACTGTGAATGCCGATCTTGAAAGCTACCATTTAGAAACACAAATAATTAAAGTATCTCTTCTATAATCATAGCAGAGAGAACAGCCAAAATCTAACTCCTAAAACTGCGCGAGCTACAAAATCACCAATTTAGCTGAAAACCCTATCCTTCCACATATTTAACACTCATTGCTACGCATCTAAAATGAATTCCAGGGGAAGACGAAGAGCAAATCAAAGCTAAAAAACACAATGTCGAAGTATCGACTTATATTCCTTACTCGGTAAGAAGCTTGCGGGCGGCGCCGGGCAGCTGGACCTCCAATTCGGTCAGTCGTGGAGCAAACTCCGGCAGGAGGGAGGAGTCCCGAACGAGGAGGACCTCTCTTAACTGGCGCAACTGGTCCAGCTTCGATGCAACATTGCCTGAGGACTTCGCTGAGTTCAGGAGACCTGCTGCTCTGTCAGCCCATCTCGCCTGCATCATCACCATCGCTCTGTAGAACCCTAGGCCCGGCAACAGAAGACTGCAGCAGAACCTAAATTAAAAGAAGATTGCATACACACCTCTCCATAATTTTCTATTTACAAAACTAACACCTTAAATGTCAGGTGAAAAAGAAATTTACATAAATAGCACTCACTTCTCATGTATTTACATATCTCAGCCCTAAACATTGATTTTTATATCCCAAACATAAAAAATTCATCTTTTCATACATAAGAAAAAGTGTTTAATTTGTAAAAATTTGAGTTTTGGTGAAATATGTAAATGCATAAGAAATGGGCGATGTAAATAGTAATTATAAATTAAGTGTTAGATATGTAAATGGATAAGAATTGGGCGGTATGTATGTAAATGCCACAAAATTAAAGTTAAGAGATATTTAAATACATAACACACAATTCTTACTTATATAAATATGTCGATAACATCTATATTTTCATATATATATATATGACATGAGACTGAAATGTTTAATATCACATAAAAAATATCATTATTATAAACTTTTCGAAAAATAGTATACATTCTCGTGCATACATTTACGATACAAATATGTTATAAATATACATATCGAATATTAGGTGTTATCTATATAAATACATAAGAATTGTGTGATATGTAGATATATTTTATGAAAGGTGAGTGCTTGAAAGAGATATGTTGAGATCTTTCATTTTATTTGCAATCAATGCGAGTGCTACGAAATTCAAGGCCGAAGTGGATTTTTATTTGACATGCTCTTTTTTGGGAGCATTTGCTAGTTTTATAGTTAATAATAAGGAAATGTCACATGCTATATATTCCTCATAAAGGAGAATGTTCAAGGTCTTTGGAGAGACATAAGCTTTGCCAACGATACGCGTAGAAATACAGCGGACTTCGATACAAAATGGATAAAATGTTTGAGAGATGATAAAAAGACACGACGTTCAAGTGATTATACACTTAGGCAATAACAATGGAGCTTGGGCAACGCAACAATGATTTGACAATAAAAGTGTGGAGATCAAGTTTTGGTTCAATGGAAAGAATTAGGAGACGACGATTTGATGATGATATATATAGCATGATGCATCAAATTCTCGTGTTTCTAGATGGGGCAATTACAATGAAACCAGTCAAAAGATGCTATTTACAAATCAACAACCCCTTTTCATTCATTTTGCAAGTTCACTCAAATATCAAAATTGATGGTGGAACCCAATCTATATTTTTTATTTTTATCAAATTCTCAATTAATGTAAATACCTAAACCCTGTGTGATTAATTTTTAAATATTAATATTTTAAGTGATCTATATAATTATCCAATTTTAAGTGTACATGAGCTATGGTAGATCTAAACCCCAAAATAACAATGAAATAATTGAATAGTTTTATAAACCGAAGAAATTATAAACAACTAACTGATCGGTCGGGTAAATTGAATTTTGACAGCTTATTCCAAAAACAGCATTTTTAAATAACTGAAATCAACATTTTCACACCATTCTTGGCTAGGCGCAGTGGCAGTCTGGCTTATACAAAATAAAAAAATAAAACATTTATAATAATCACTGCGGCTTTTTGAATAACAATTATTTTGCAGCAGCTTATTAATAAGCTACAACTGCCCATGGACCTTAAATTTAACTTTCAAAAGCTAAATTTCCAACGTCATTCTTTTTAAAAAAATCTAAATGAAGAGCATTAAATAAGTTGGTTTCAAATTATGTAGATTAAGGGTCTATTTGGGGCAACTGTAGCTTATTGAATAGTCTGCTGATAAGCAGATTAAAAATAATCTGTTGATAAGCTAGCTGCGGTGTCTATTACAATTTTTTATTTTTTTTGAAAAAGTCAGACCGTTGCCAATAAGCTCCCACCGCACCTAGACAGTTGCAGTGTGAAAGCGTTGTTTTCTATATTTTAAATACGCATAAGCTGCTAAAATGCAGTTTACCCAAACAGGCCAAAACGTCACCGCACCAAATAAGCTGCCCCAACTAAATGAAACATGATTCAAAATCGAGACTCGAAACAATAAGTAAAAAGATTTGAGACTAGTACACAAACTTTGTGATGTTGTTGAAAATAATAGAAAGGACAATCTCTATCAAATAGGAATTCAAATATTACAATAAAAAATGAGAGAATTGTCAAAATATTTCAATCCCAATGTCTGTAAAACTGTAAAATTAATATTCAAATTCTTTTAATAAGGGCCAAAACAATCATCCATTTCAAAATGTTGAGGAACAACTTCAATCCATTTTACAAGAATCTGAAGAATAAACCACACCGCTAAAATGAACCCCTGCAAAGAGTAACAAGACAATTTCAACACTTTTCTCCAACACTAATAATAAAAAGGGAGATTTACATAGTATATCACCCACCTTAACTTCAATTTTCACCTACAAAACATCCGGCCTATGCTGAAAACATAGGAATCTGGTCGTCTGTATGTAAAAATTGGAGAAATATTTGCGTACATAAGATGTACGCAGCGCTACGTACATCAGAGGTTATTCTGGGGGTACAGGGGAGTTATATCCGGGTTATACCGGAGGTTACAAGGGGGTATAACCCAGATATAACCCCATTGTACCCCCTGAATAACCTCTGATGTATGCAGAGCTGCGTACATCTTATGTACGCAAATATTTTCCTAAAAATTGAAGTTTAGGTGATTGATACGTTACATGATATTAATGTACCATAGAACAAAACCGTAACACCCCCCTAACCTGGCTCCATGTCAAAAGTACCAACATTTAACTCATTACAAACCCTAATTTGCACATCACACCCAACTTAGAATATAATGTTTTATCAACCATATTAACTAACACAAATAGTTAATGGCTTTTATTCTGAAACTTTAAGGATGAAAGAATTGAATGAATTCTGCAGGGTTTGTTACAGCAATCAAAATCTTGAAAATCCTTTTCTGGCTTTCCTTTTCTCCATTTCATACATCCAATCGGAGAGGCAGAAGAGGCCCTTGTAGCCATAGTATAAGCTTCCACATATAACAATCAACAGTATAGAAAAGAGTAGGCATTTCTGTAGGACTGATCTGAATGCCTGGAATATCAAAGCAGGCTTGAGTTAATTTGATGAAGGAGACAGAAGAAAAATAGCTTTTTTTATTTTTTTTATTTTTGGGAAATTTACATTATTAGTACATAATTCTTATTATTTACATATCTCACACATAAAATTTCATATTTGCACACATATCACGCAAATCTTTAATATCACATAAAAAATAGCAATATTACTTCTTTTTAAAGGTGAAATACATCTTTTCGTGCATAGGTTTGAAAAGCCGAAGTGTTATGGATGTAAATATGAAAGTTTAGGTATGTGATATGCAAAAAAAAGAAAATCTAAAACCAGATGCTTTACCACGAAAAAATATTACATCAGTACTATGCATGTAGAGTAACGTGCGTAGCCAATAGAATCACGCCACGATACCCCGCGCGACATAGAAAAAAAACGGCGCAGTAATATGGGGAATATTCCCCCCATGTTATTCATGTGTTATTGTGTGTTATTCATGTGTTATTGTGTCCTGAGAATATTCCTGGTGTTATAATAACACAATAACACATTAATAACACGGGAGAGAATATTCCTCCGTGTTACTGCGCCGTTTTTTTCTCTGTCGGGAATATTTCCCGTGTTATTCAAGTGTTATTGTGTGTTATTCATGTGTTATTGTGTCCTGAGAATATTCTTGGTGTTATAATAACATAATAACACATCAATAACACATGAATAACACGCAATAACACATGAATAACGTGCAATAACACATGAATAACACAGGAGGGAATATTCCCCGTGTTACTGCGCCGTTTTTTTTGCTCTACCGCACGTGTCGTGGCGTGATTTGATTGGCTACGCACGTTATTTTTACGTGCGTAGTACTGATGTAATATTTTTTCCTTCACCACACACCTGGAACTTTGAAACCTGCTGGGTTACTTGTACACGGTCCCGTCTCTTTTTCCTCTTTGTCACAGCAGCAACAACAGTTTCCGTGTCCTTGAGAATGAAAATAAACATGAGTTAGAAACGTTAATCTTGTCCTAAATGAAATATATTACAGGGACAAATCCATACTGCTCCAAGCAAAGAAATTTAAGATTCAAATTTGACATGAACAAAAGGGAAATTTACATATATTCCACACAATTCTTATGTATTTACATAAATAACACCCAAAGGTTGATATTTATACTTATAACACCTCGGTATCATAAACGTGTACATAAAGACGTGTAATTAATATTTAAAAAGATAGTGATGATGGTATTTTTGATGTGATGTTAAGGATTTAAGTGGCATGCATGTAAATATTGTGATGGAAAGTATTAAATCTAATGGTTGTATATTAGTTAGTTTGTATGTTAGGAAGCTTGATATTAGGTAACCAAATTACAGGATCTTTTCTATATTAGAGGATATCTAATTACAAGATCTTTTCTATATTAAGTATATTCATATTCTATAGAGAGAGGAGTATATGTAAATATGTAACACATGCTTTCAATTGAGAAAGAAGAAGAGAAAAGTTTTTTTAACTTTACACAATATCAAAACTCATCGTCCGGATCGTTTGTTTGTTCGACATTGTTGGGTTCACACATACAGAGTCAATTTGGCGCAACTGCAGTTTTTTAACTTCTCAGTTGCAGTTGCGCTGCCCCGAGAAACTACTGTGGAGAAGCTACTATGGGGAAGCTGACTGTCTGTTTAGGGCAGCTGTGTGAAAACACTTTTGGGGCAGTTGTTTCTGGAAAAATGATCATTTTGCCCTTATTTAATAATGTTGTGTTTAACAGATTTCTGGTAGCCATAAATTTAATACATTTAAGGCAAAAATTCACTTTAAAACAGTACAAAATTACAAATACACACATCATTTCACAGTGCGTATCAAGAATGCAAAAAAAATTCTAGAACTATTAAAATGACAATTATTAAGTAATTATATTATTTTTAACATTCAGACGGTGTAGCTTCCGTGTTAGATTTTCCTGGAGTGATATTCTTCATTCCCTATCTCATCTTGAGTGGTGGACAACGATGTTTGATGAAATGAAAGTCATAACTGAAAATAAAATTTGCGAACTACTTGAATTACCTTATGACAAAAGGTTGTTGGTTGTAAATGGGCCTTTGCAGTTATGTTTCATTCTGATGGATCTACAACTCATCCCAAAGTTCAGTTCGTTGCTAAGAGTTATGCTCAAATTTATGGGATTGACTACTTGGACACATTCTCTTAGGCGGCTAAGTTGAGTTTGGTTCGCTTCTTTCTGTCTTTGGCTGCAATGAATAATTGACCACTTCACTTGCTTTATGTGAAGAATGTCTTTATGCATTGTGATCTTTTAAAAGAGGTATACATGGAGCAACCTCCTGAGTTTGTCGCTCAGAGGGAGTCTGGAAAAGCATGTTGTCTTCGACAGTCACTAAATAGATTGAAGCAAAGCCCTCATGCATCATTTGAAAGATTTAGTCAAAGAGAAGAATTTGGGATACAAAAGAATAAAAGTGATCACACTGCATTCTAAAAGTAATCTGTTGGCATCATTCTGTTGGTGATATATGCTAATGAAATTATTTTTACTGAAAGCGATATAGAGGAAATCTTATCATTGACATCATTTCTTCAAAATCAATTCAATATCAATGATTTGGTTTCCTTGAAGTAGTTATTAGGAGTTGAGGTATCAAGGAACAAGAAGGGTGGGTATCTATCTATTTCAGCAGAAGTTTGTTTTGGATTTGCTATCAGAAACATAAAAAATAAGAGTCAAACCGTGCAGTACTCCGATGCTTCCTAATCATCAACCTACCATGGATGAAGAGCTTTTTAATGATTCTGAACGATATAAGAAGTTAGTGGAAAAATTAAACTACCTCACAATGACTCGCCCTGACATTACATATAAATCAGTCAGACCTTCCCCCGCAGTTCATCATTGATCAGCTCTGAAATAGATATTATGATACCTTAATGGCGCTCATGGAAAAAAAGATTCTATATCAAAATCAAGGGCATAGAAATATTGAATGTTCCTCTGATGCAGATTGAGCAAGTTCTAAGATTGATCAAATATCCATTAATGGATACACTTTTTGATGGTGGTAATTTGATCTCATGAAAGAGTAAGAAAAAAAATGTAGTGTCACAATTCAGTGCAGAATCTGAGTATCAAACAAATACACAAGCTTCAAGCGAATTAATGTAGGTCTCCCAATTCTTGACCAAATTTGGTTTTAAGATGAGAGCTCCAACAAAATTTTGGCGTGATAACCAACTCGTAATTCATATTTCTTCAAACCCTGTCTTTCATGAACGAACTAAACACTACAATTTAATTTCTACAGCTCGTGCATAGTCCAGAGAACAATTAGAGGGCAAATGGACATCATCACAAAAGCCCTTAATAGAGCAAGGGCCAATTATATTTATAACAAACTAAGCATAAAAAATATTTAAGATCTAGCTTGAGGGAGAGTGTTATGAAAAGTATTAAACCTAATAGTTGTATATTTGATAGTTTGTATATTATGAAGCTCAATATCAGGTAATCTAAATAGAAGAGATCTAATTACATGATCTTTTCAGTCCTAGATATATTCTTAATCTATAGAGAGAGGATTGTACATAATTATGTAACATATGCCTTCAAATGGGGAATAAGAAGAAAAAAAGTTTTTCATTTCACAAATATGAATGCTTAGGTGTTAGATATGTAATACATGAAAATTGTGTGGAATGTATGTACATACTGCATAATTGTTATTTATTTACATATCTAACACCTAATCTTTCTTATTTGCATCTATAACACTCAATCATTAACATCATACAAAAATACCATCATTACTAACTTCCTACAGGTAAAATACACTTTTTCCAACATAGTTTCATGCCACCAAAGTGTTATAAGTGTAAATATCAAACTTTGGGTGCTATATCTGTAAATACAAAAGGATTGTGTGGGTTGCATGTCAAGAATAGGGGAATTTACATGCATACCACCCAATTCCTACGTATTTACATATCTAACACCTAAACTTTACTTTTGGCATTTATACCACCCAAATCATGTCGCATCAAAAACACTATTATTTTAACTTCTAAAAAAGTGAAATGCACTTTTCATGCATAAGTAAGATGGCATATATTTAAAAATTGAAGTTTAGGTGTTAGATATGTAAATGCACAAGAAGTTTAGGCACTAAAGCCAAAAAAAAAAAAAGAGAGCTTGAACATATATACAACAGGGCCAAGTGAATCAATCAGAAAAAACTTCGGACATAAAAGGAATAATTTCCATGTAACATTCTTTACATAAATACCTTGGGCACTTGAACTTTTCGAATTAGCAATTCTGCATCAGTAGTTTTCACCTTGCTTTTACAGTCTGCATTGCATGGGATCAAACCAACTCCAAACAAGTTCTTTACAACATCTTTAGAATCTCGACCTGTTTCGCGGTAGAAATTTTGGGCATCACGACAAAGCCATTCCTTTTTAAGACTATTGCATGCACAGCGAACGGTAACCTTGCAACAGAGTAAACAAAATGTAAGAGTTGATTAATAGTTAGGGGCACTTCTCATACATACCACCCAACGCTTATGTATAAACATTCATAACAATTAGCATATCACTCAAATCTTTAACATTACATCACATAAGAATATCACAATAATTATCTTTTTAAAAGTGAAAACACATTTTCATACTTTATATGCATGACACCAAAGTGTAATAAGTGCAAATATCAAACTTTGGGTGTTATATATGTAAATACAAAACAACTGTGTATAAATTTCCCTAAAAGTTATGCCTACTCGATTTGCATGACAGATGGGCCTATATATATGTATGGAAACTTATCAAAGCTCAACTTTAACGAGGGAACACAGATATTGAAGAGGCAAATGCATGAAATTCCCAAACCATACAGCCAACAGCTTTTTAGCATTAAAAATAGAAAGATTTGCAGACATAAGACTCAATTCCTAAGTATTAAACTTCAATTTTACATACATGTCACTTATATATGCAAAAAAGGTTACTTTTAAAAATTAAAAAGGTGTTATTTTTGAAATGATACGAAAGATTGGGTTAGTAGAAATGTAAAGTCTAGATGTTAGATATGTGCATACATAGGAATAGGGTGGTATGAATGTAAATGACCCTAATATATTTTCTTGTTCCTACTTGACTTAAAATATTATAGAAAAATTTATAATTTAGATATGTAAAATGTTGTTAAAAAGAATAATGATGTATAATAGTTCTTGTGATATGTGCTCTCATTTAATTAAACTATTGAAGTGTATTCTTTGTTTGTGCTTCGCACTATAAAATATAATAAATTTTTTGTGTCACATTTCGCTTTACAAATTAACAACCTTGAATTTTCAAAAACATATTGATGTCTCACACTTGCCCAAAAATACAGAATCTATTCAGATTTTACGTTTTATGCCTATTACTCATCCTTGTGGATGTTTTTTTTAACATGGAAGTACGTAGAAATCATTAATATATCAGGTAACATTTGCTGTCTTCTAAAAACTAATTATATCCTTCAACGCTGATGAAATCATACTGGTGACATTATTATGATAACTGAAAGTTGAATCATCATGAAGGGCAAATAAATTTTGAAGAGGGAAATTTACATACGTAACACACAATTCTTATGTATTTACATATCTCACACCAAAACTTTCATATTTACATATGCTGCACCCTGGTGCTTTAAACCTATGCATGAAAAAGGTATATTTGACTTTTAAAAAAAATGATAAAAGCCTTATTTTTTATGTGATATTAAAACGAGAGAAAAAGCCTAGGAAAAACTTGAATTATGGAGGTCTACATTGGAGTATAAAGACCTTCATTTAAGTAGAACTAAAACTGCATACATGGAATGTAATTTTAGTAGTAATAGTTCTAGTGACAGAAATGTGACTTTGGGTGATCAAATTATTAAAAGGTGTAAACGATTTAGATATCTTGGGTCCGTTGTTCAAAGCGATGGTGATATAGATGGGGATGTTAATAGTAGAATTCAAGTTGGTTGGTTGGAGTGGAGGAATGCTTCAGGCCTTTTGTGTGATAGAAAAGTACCACATAGACTGACATAAAATTTTTATAAGACGGTGGTGAGACCTGCAATGGTATATGGCGTTGAATGTTGGCCTTTAAAAGAGAAGCATAATAATAAGTTAAGTGTTGCCGAGATGAGAATGATTAGGTGGATGAGTGGCTTTACACTTGAGACAAAATGCGAAATGAATATATCCGTGATAGGGTTGGTGTAGCTCTTGTGACGGACAAAATTAGAGAAAGTCGTCTTAGATGGTTTGGTCACATTAAATGTCGACCATCTGATGATCTGATTAGGAGAGTTGATGTTTTAGATTTGACTTGCGTTAAGAAATGCAGAGGTAGACCTAGGAAGACTTGGGCTTATTGTATTAAAAATGAACTTAATTTACTAGAACTAAATGAAAGTATGACACTAAATAGGACGCAATGGAGAAAAAGGATTCATGTAGCCGACCCCACGTAGTAGGATTATGGCTTTGTTGTTGTTGTTGTATTAAAGATTTGAGTGCTATGTGTGCAAATATGAAAGTTTAGGTGTGAGATATTTAAATACATAAGAATTGTGTGCTATGTATGTAAATACGCCTTTTTGAAAAACACATTGATGAACCATGAAACAATTTTATAATTAGCAACAATAACGTGTTATACTATTTGACAGTCAAAATGTGTATCCATGATTGAGGCGTAAGAAATTATTTGGAAGGTAGTTGTGTATTATAAAATGACGGCTATAACTCTTGAATGGAAAACAAAGAAAATGACTAAAGCGAACTTTGGAGGACAAAAATTTAGAAGTATACCTTTTTACTGCATAGATTAACAGATGGGCACTGTCCAGGATGACAAAGTTCAGAGCATAAATGAGGACAATTAGGTAATTTTCTGTAAACAGAATAAAAATGTAAAACATTTTAAAAGATGAATCGACAAATAAAAAATGCATACAATATTAGTGAACAAAATAATGAAATGTAGCATTACAAGCATACTGCAACTGCAAATCATGTTTTATGATGGACAATATGAATGGTCTATCCAATTAAGAATAAAATTGGGGTACCATGTCCAGAAATAATGAACATTTTATGTAAAAAAAAGGTTTATTACATGATGGATAGAGCTAGGAGAGGATAAAGACCAGCTTCTCATTATTTACTGCACATATTTACATAAAAAATGAAAAAATTGTCAAAATAGCCCCATGACTCTTCGTAGAGTTCCATTTTAATCCCCGACTCTATAAACATGTCAATTTAGTCCCTAGACTCTTTTAACGAGGAATCAGCCCATATTAAAAAAGTCCATGGATTAATTTAGCATTTTTATAGAATCTCGGATTAAAAGGTTCAGTGACTATTTGACACTTTACTCCATACAAAATGCATCATTGTAAAATGACAAGGAAATCAAAGAAACCAAAAGCTTAAACAACGAATAAATGGCACTACAAATTACCTATGGCATGGACCACGACATGATCGTATCAGTTGTTGCTCCTTTTCGTTCAACCCATTGTAGTCAGTGCACTTGAAAACATGCACCATAGCACCACAATGACACGATCTTTTGAGAAGAACCTCACAAGGGGGACAACTATCACAATGACACCGCAAAGGGCATGGGTGCGAGCATGCAGGCTCCCTAACCTGAAAAATATTTCAAACTAAAATATGTCTACATGAGATGGTGGAAGAGCACATTTTAAATAGATCATCAGAGATTGGCTTCCTAGTGTTTTTATTCAAAAGTATGTTCATGAATAAATGAGAAATACCACAAGAAAATAGTATTAAAATGTCATAAGCAATACATTTTAAAAAAAAATGGGTATTTATATACATAGCACACAATTCTTATGAATTTACATATATGTCACATCTAAACTTTCATATTTGCACGCATAGCACCCAAATCTTTAGCATCACGTAAAAATAGCACCATCACCAATTTTTCAAAGTAAAATATACATTTTCATGCAAAGGTTTAAATATCCACAGTGCTATGTGAAAGTTTAGGTGTGAGATATCTAAGTTTTACCAAATCAAACCTTTTCGCATGGAAGAAGACACTCTTCACACGGCTCTGCGTGTTCTCTTGCAGCATCTAAAAGTAAAGGCTCTTGCTTTTGTGCCAAATCATTTTCACAACTTTCATTTTCATCCAATGATGATGGCTGATACTTTACAGCATGACAAGGCTTTGTGCAGTAATGATTGCCACAAGAAAGAAGACTTCCACATAGGTTATTGCATGAAAACTGTGCCTTTTTTGAGCAAACCATCTGAAAAATGAACAATAACAGGTAAACAAGGAGGAAAAGTAACCTTATGAAGATCAGATATTAACTGCATATGATGCTAGTTTTAGGGTGGTGCATTTGGGATCAATTTTGTTATTTTTAGCTCTTGTTTTTTCTTTTATTTTCAAAAATATGATTATTTAATGTGTTTTACATTTTTTTTTTTCGAAAAATTACATACATTTCGCATAATACCCAAAATTTGATATTTACACTTTATCAAGGTGTCATAAACCTATGCATGTAAATGTGTATTTCAATTCTAAAAAGATAGTGATGGTGGTATTTTTTATGTGATGTTAAAAGATGTAGATGTATGCATGTAAATATTAAGATTTAGGCCTTAGATATGTAAATACATAAGAATTGTGTGGCATGTACATAAATAACACGTTTATTTTTTGTTTCTAAAAACAAATTAACACACTAGGAAATAGCTTTTAGATGTTTTGAATATTTTTGAAAATAATCATATCTTAATCAAATATGCCGTACATGAGTTGTTTCAATTCAAAAAATAAAACAAAAATGAAAATAATAAATAGAAAATAAAAAAATAAAAGTGCACCCAAACGGTCCCAGAGGAGTTGTTAAGGTACGAACCGGACGTTCTTCACCAATGTGTTGGCCAAGGCATGCTACCCATATAATTTCTTCACAAGTGGGGCATGCTAATCCAGGTGTAACTCCAAGAATTTTCTCCATTTTCTTCTTCTTTGGTTTCAGTGTGAACACCGGGTTGGGAGGAGGGATTGGACCATGGCATCTACATAAAAAAGAATATTTACACACACACCACTCATTCTTACATATTTACAAATCTAATACTTCAACTTCAATTTTTAAATACATGAAAAGGTGCATTTTACATTTTAAAAGTTAAAATAGTGATATTTTTTTATGTGATATGAAATATTTGGGTAGTATAAATGTAACAGTTAAAGTTTAGGTGTTAGATATGTAAATACATAAGAATTGAGCCTCTTTTTGAAAATATTAACTCAATTATCAGAGTTAATAGAAAGCTTGGGAATAGAAAACAACTCCAAATCTAGAGTCCACACCTATGTTTACAGCTATGACCGCATGGATGTTCTTCTCCACAAATAATTCTGCAAGGCGGGCAAGCACCATAGTGACATTTGTGTGGCTGTAGACAATGAGAAATTAAAAGTGACTTGACATTGGAAAAATAATCTTACAAAAAAATAAAGGTTATTAGGAGAAAAAGATCAAAATTTATTAAATGATTTTTATATAGAACCATTTTATAAATGTGTTCAATTTAGTCCTCTAAATTCTCAAATATGATTGGGCACATTAGATAGTCTGGAATTAAGACGGGCTCTCAAAAATTGTCTTGGGACCATTTTGTTATCTTCTATGTGGGATATTAAACATCATGTCACTTAGAAGGAAACAAAGAAAGAATTTCATGGAAATTGAATGAAGATTTCTTTACATTCATGGATAAACTTTTGGGGCATTTACATACATGGCAAACAATTCTTATGTATTTGCATCTCACGCCCAAACTTTCGTATTTACACACATAGCACTCAAATCTTTAGTATCACATAAAAAATAATACTATTACCATTTTTTAAAAGTCAAATACACATTTTCATGCATAGATTTAAAGCAACAAAGTGCTATGTACGTAAATACGAAAGTTTGGGTGTGAGATATGTAAAGATAAGAAATGTGTGTTCCGTATGTAACTTTTCACAAATGATTTTACACAAAAAAGCCATCTGGAGTGGAATGAATGATAAAGGCCATACCAGAAGAGACAAAAAAGAAAAAAAGTCAAAGGGATCATATATTTCTAAACTCTTTCAACTTGTGTATTATAGAAGCAACCAAGGCAAACATATCATTCTTTCTAGAAAAAATAACTTATCCAGACAAAATATCTGATTGTTTCTTTAATGAGATCAAAAGCCCTAAAAAAATCTTCTTCTCGTAGTAGTCAACTTATACCTATTGGCCCAAAAAAGCTTGAGCTAATGTTCAAGATAGTAAGAAAAGCCTATAAGCTAAAAAAGCAAAAACAAGTTTTCATGGTGATTGAACAAAGCCTAAAGAATACAAGGATAGAACAGATTTTCATATTGATGAGCAAAGCCTCCAAAACACATGCTCTAGTAAAAAATCATGATTGAAGAACAAAGCCTAATGGACATAATAATCGAGACGATTTTCATATGAAATAGCATAACAGGCAAAAAAAGAAGCTTGAGTTAAGATTTGAGAGCAGTCTAGTGAAATTTAAGGCTGTAAAGCTTAAGCTAGTTATTATAATGACCGAACAAAGCCAATGGACTAAACAAAACTAATTGAAACCTTAGGATGATTACGAAAAAGCCTACAAGCTAAAAAGCCTCAAATTATGGTTAACAACATTTAAGCAAAGTTTAAAAAATAATAAGTAAATTCATGATTCAAGATGATTAAGCGAAGCCAGAAAGTAATGACGGTTGAACGAATTTTAATAATGACTAAACAAAAAACTATAAGGTAAAAAAGGCTCAAATCAAGGTTCAAAATATGAGCAAAGCCAAATGACCAAATAAAGTGACTTCCACCCATGGATTGAACTCAAGATCTATTACATCCAAATCCTTGGTTTGCATGAAAGGAATTAACTTAAAGATCATTGGTCCGCACGTAAAACATCCACAAGAAAACTCCACGAAGTTGCACAAAGAACTATGATGATTTAATTCAATATTAGTGAGTTATCATCAGAGAGATTCTGATCAGATTGTAGAACAATAACACATGAAGAACAAGAATGTATGAAGATGCCTAACTCCTTGAGTGGAAATCATTTTGGCAACTCATTTTCTATAAATAGAAAAAGCTAAATTCTATAAAATATCATGTGCTTTCTAAATGGCATCAAGATCATCCTCTTGTAAACATCTTGGCCCATGTTACCAATTACAAAGGTAGTATTGAAGTCCACCGCTCCCATGAACTTGAGTAAAAAATACGCACAGTCTATTCGTTAATGAGATAAAGGTAGAAAGAAGTAGAGAAAAATTGTGAGGAGCAATGAGAAGTTGATTTGGTCTCAAAATCTCAAATTAAAACGTTTGTGAAAGACATAACAGTCCACTCATAAAGTTCGTCTCGCGTCTTGAAGGCAGTCCCACTCGTCTCATGGCCTCATTTGTATTTGATGATATCCGTTGTGCAAGTCTCCACACAGCTAATCTAGGAGATCATCCAAGTGAGAATGGGAAATCAATATTTTATGGTAATCTTATTAATGGCTTGGCTGTCGATGCACATTCGTCATGATCCATCCTTTTTTAGCACCATCAGAGTAGGGACTGCACATCAGTTGGTGCTTTATCGGACTAGGCCCCTTCCGACGAGATCCTGCACTTGTAGTTGTAGTTTTCGTACTCCTCCGGTCTTAATTTTTTGTAGGTTGGTCGATTTGGTAATACGGATCCTGGTATAAGTTCAATAGCGTGTTGGATGTCCCTTAGTGGTGGTAATCCCTCTGGCGAGTTGTCGTTCATAACATCTTGAAAGTCCAGTAGCAACGGTAGCTTCCTTCTAGTACTAATGCTAGTATTACAAGGGCATCTCAACTGACTGCAAGAAAGTAATACGAGGAACTCATGTTGCCTATGTATTGCTTCTGCCTTTTGCATCCTTAGCAGGTAGTAGAACGATACATTTCCCATCCTTCTTGAAAGAATAAATGATCTTAAACCCGTTGTGTCGAGTCTTGCGATCAAACTGTCAGGGCCTTCCTAGCAGAATGTGGCAGGTGTCCATAGGAACCATGTCGCACCATACCAGTTCGTGTAGCTAGGTTCCAATGGAAAAATCAACTAGGCACTGTTGATCACACGTATCTCGTTTATCTTCTTCGGTCAGGTAAGAGAATATGATTAGAGATGCTTTTGTGTCCAATCCTAATTTTTTCACTATGAGCGTGGACACAACGTTCTCGTAGCTCCCACTGTTGATGATCAGGCTGCAGACCTTCCCCTTGACGATGCACTTGGTGCGGAAAATGCTATGCCTTAATCAGGATTTGTCTCGTTCTAGCTCATTCTGCAGCATTCGCCGAACGACTAACGCTTCTCCCTCATCTCTGTGGAGCTGAAGTTCTTCTGAGCTCTCTGACTCCTCATTGACCTCCCGACAGTACATTGGTCTGTGAGTGTAACAACTCAACTTGTTGGGCAGCTGGAGGCTCTGTGACCGTAGCTGCGGCACTTGAAACATTTTCTGGTCGACACTATAATGGAGGAACCACCTTTCTCTGGCTATTCCCCACTCTGATCTGCCTAATCCATTCCTTGTCCAAATTTTTAATTTCCTCCCGAGGTACCTCTATCGGCTATAGAAGTTGCAGATGATTGTTTAGCTGAAGATGGTGGTCTAAAGGACGATTGTTGCTGACTTTGCTTTTGTTGTCTTTCCACTTTCAAGGCTAGGGTCTGGATATCCCATAACATCCAATACGGTTGCAACTGTACCATATTGCTGATGATGGGTTTTAGGCCCCTGAGATATTTGGCTATCGTATGTTCCTCTAACTCTGTCAGCTCGCATTTCAATTGTAAGTCGTCGAATTGGGCTATGAACTGCTCAACTGAAAGATTTCGTTGTTGTAAGTTGTGAAGTTTTCGAAACATGTCTTGGCAATATTGCGGTGGGAGGTTTTTCCTCTATATTGTCTTCTTCATATTCTCCCGCTTGGTTATCATTTCACTGCATTATAATATCCTTTGCCTTTGTAGATTTTCCCACCATAAGGAGGCCTTTTTCTTCAATTTGATTGCATCTAGCTTGACTCATTTGTCCTCTAGTACGTCTTCATACTCGAAGATTTGTTCGACTGATTGCAGCCAGTCGATAAACTCATCGGAAACCATGCCTCCCCCAAATTCAGGGAGGCCCATCTTGATGTCAAAGTCTCGCTGACCTCCATAAGGGGGCTCCATCTTGATGTCAAAGTCCCGCTGACCTCCATAAGACCTCCATAAGGGGGCTCCATCTTGATGTCAAAGTCCCGCTAACCTCCATAAGGGGGCTCTTCTCTCGGCCTTCTTTTATATTGGATACCAAAATGGTGTGGTCGATATTCCTCGTCACTGTGATCTTCTCTGTGGAACGGATTTATCTCCTCATCACCATCTTCTGTTCGACTCTCCTGATCACGGTCAAAGGTGACCTATTGCTGGTTCTTGTCATCCATCTCTACTAGTCTCCGTTGCAGACGATAGATTTCTCGTTGAATCTCTTCCCGGGCCAAGTCTAGTGTATTTCTATGTGGTGGCATGGCTAGGCTTGGGAATCATAAGGAAAAAAAAAAAATTGGAGGTAGATTGGGTAGAGGCGGATGTGAGGAAATCCTAGGATGGGACTAGAGTTGGATTAGCTTGATACCAAATGATACTAAAATTAGTTGGGATGTGGCGAAACACAAAAATAATTTTTTATTAATATAAAAATAGTGTTACAACACGACTCAAACAAAAGGGAAATACAATAATAGATGAATCTCTGGTAGAGGAGAGATTTGAGGACGGTGGCAACGTCAGCAGGGTGAGTGGTTGTTTGGGTAAGTAGGGATTGTGTTTGGTTGGTTATAGGTAGGTGGGACGGCGAGGTCGTGGAGGAAGTAGGGGTGACGGTAGAGTGGTGGAGGAATATGAGGGTGGTTGACAGCTAAGGAAGAGGTAGAAAAGGGTGTCGGGGAGAAGAAGCGAAGGAGGTTGGAAGTTTACAACACCACCTCGCAGCAAAAGATACAACCAAAGCACCACCTTTCGTCGGATACAACTCTAACAAGAGAGAAGAGAACCAGATAATCCTCGCCTGAGATTAGAAAACAACTCTACTAGAACTGAACTCTTACATAAGGAAACAACTATTTATAAACTCTTAGAGAAAAATAGAAAAGAAAAGAAACCTACAGAAATAAAAAGCGAAAGAACCTAGAAAATACTTCCTGGTTGCGGTAACCTCGCGCTGCTCCCAACTGAATTGATAGTTCGTGAGTCAGCTTTGCATTCCATCCTAATGGTTCGCAGGTTGGCTCCCACGACTCCTTGTGTCCGAGCGCTATTTTAGCGTCCGCATGGGGCACTGTTAGTACCTCGATACAAAGACTCGCACCCCGCGCCACAACATTTTTGTGTGTTAAACCTATGCATTAAAACTCGTGTTTGATTTTTAAAAAGTATTATTATTGCTTTGTGTGTGAATAAGAAAGTTTAGGTTTGAGATTTGTAAATATATAAGAATCGCGCCTACACATGTAAAGTGCCCCCTAAAATTAAACAAATCAAACGTCTCCAATTCTCAATTGGCAATACACACCACAAGAAAGAGAGAGAGAGAGAGAGAGAGAGAGAGAGTGAGAGAGAGAGTGAGAGCAGCAAAGCAATGATTCTCTTCATCCAAACATTGGACTGTATATTAACAAAATAAAAATGATCCAATTCTTTTCATCAGGATATTATGCAAGGCTCCACAAAGACGAGTGGAGTCACATATTGTCACAAAAACTGCCATGACTGCATTCATTCATCAAGGTCCAGAAAATAGTAAAAAAAAGATACCCGACACTGAAATTGGTGTTTGCACAAACGCGACACATGACAAGCTTTGGGGCATTTTGGAGGCCTTTGATTCTTTTCAACACCACATGGGACCTAAACAAGCACCATTAGAAACAAAAATTAGCAACGCATAAAAGAATTTTGAATGAAAAAAGATAGAAAAGTAAACAAAAGTGCTGCCAGCAATAATAGATGATGATTAATTTTTTAGATCAAAATTTCATGATATCTTGGTAACTTCCCATAAAATATATTAGTAACAATAATTACAGCTCACTAAGGTATCACTCCTTACCAAAGAAAAGAAAAGTCAAAATTTTATTGTTCAAACAAAAAATGGTGAATCAGTAATGATTTAAAACCTGGACGCCAACAGCGGAGTAAAGGGACTCAGAAAAGCAAAGCCATAAATTGTCAGAATTATGTCAAACCCTTACTAGATTAGACCTTTTGGGGTGAATAACAAAAAAAAAAAAAAAAACAACACAAAAAAAGGGGGAAGGGACGAGGAGGATCCTCACAACTCAAATTCCGTTTAAGGATGAGCAAAAAGGATACTCATACAATGGTAAGAAAATCACGTAAGAAATGAAACAACATTGAAGCCAATCGTGAGAACTACAAACGTCAGGAAATAAGCGAAGAAGCATCAAAGAGATAAGTGATGGTTGAGTCCTGCTTCTTTTTTAGAGCAGTTGAATTTTAAGCTCTATAAAACAACACTTGAAACCACGTCACTAAGTCCAATCATTTATACAATTGATTAGCTTATGTGACTAAAGAGGCTTTAAGCTTAAAATGAGCTCGAACCAAACAAAGCCCAATGATTTTTCACTGTCCTTAACCGCATCTACATGTATCATCACATAATAGTATTTTCACGACTCGGCCCAAAGGCTTGGAATTTTAAAGTGGCGAAAGAACAGTGAGACGGTGAAATTAAAATTTAATTATTTTATGTTAAATTAAAAATTAAAAAAGAGCTACTAATGATTAAAGATTTAATTAACCAAATAATAAATTTACCTTCATGTTTGTTGACTTCGTCTTCTATACTCATTTTTTTCTTCATTACTCATCTTTAAAAAAACCTTAAACCTGAAAGAGTTAATTTAAACTATAGTGAGCTCCAGTAGCCAATGAATACTCCTACTTCTAAATTCTAGTAATATAATGAATAAAAAAATCATAAATATGCTAGTCTATTTAAGATAAATCAACATATGAGAAATAACAATTTATTAGCCAAATATGATTATTCAATGAGTTTCATAACATTCAATTATATTGTAATATCATTTTCTTATATATAACATTTTATTTGCACAATTGTTACTGAAACACCGACTAAAATTTATACCAGTAAAAGTGCATTAATATTACTTATCATTTTCAATTATATGCAAGGGTACCTTAGCGTCCCCGGTGAATACTATAAGGGGATAAATTCCATCATAATCAGCACGCACATGTAAGTAATCTATGTAGCTTGTATCATTCACATATTAATTTCATTCAATTCGATTTAATCTATTATTGAATCATGATTTGTCTGGGAATCACACGCCAATGAATAAAGCGTAAGAAAAGAGACAGAGAGATAGATAGAAGACTAAATAATAATAAACATCAATACGTCTTGTCCATCTCTTAAAATAATCTCCATATTTATAGGGGTGGGTTATAATATAGTGATATTAAATGTTTGCACCTACTTTAATGAAGTTGTACAAGATATTCTAGGAATTTTTCATATAAGAGTCTATGGCTCGACCGCTCTCTTACTCAACTGATCGGACTAGCATATCAACTCGGTAAGGGCGATCTGATTGACTAGACCAAGCCAGTGTTATCGTCAGCTGAGCTTGACTAGCTTCGAGTCAGTAGAACTGATTCGGTCAGCTAGGTTTGCTAATCTGTTAATCTAGTCTAACTGTCAAACCTCCATCCTTGAAGGAAGAGCTCCTATCGACTAGGCAATATCAGACTATTGTGTAGAGGGTGAATCACTGTAACCCAATAGATAGCTCATTCCTCGGAGAGGAGAGCCTATGAAATGACTATAAAACTCCATTGTATTGCTAACTCTTGGTCCATGATGAGGAGCCTTGGAGGCATCTGTGGAAGGTTGGCGATAGTGAGGAACTGGATTCTTTCCTCAAGTCGGATCTACTAGGAGTAGGTTGATGTCGTCATTCAACTTACTTGTGGTGGTTAGCTCAGATACTTATATGTCCTGCTTTAGTCTGGTTGGATCGAAATCAAATCGTTCGGTCATTCCTTTTATCCTCCTGGCTCGATCGGTCTTCAATTTTGGCTTGGACGGCTATGTCCAATCGGATGAGTAGGCCTCTTGGTTTTTTGTTGGTAGGCCCTCATTTGTCACTTTCTTCCTTCTGGATCATTTGATCTCCTTAGGATTCGTGTTGGCACAATTTTAATATATATATTTCAGTTCCCCGATTCTTTTATTTCATGAAAGCGGCATTGCGATAAGAATAAAAGAGTTAAATGCAAAAAATGGATATCATTTATTTCTTGATCAGTGCTTCAGTAATTGAACTCTTAAGATTTTCACGTCATTAGTTCTTATAAATAGAGCAAGACAGAACTCCTTTAGCATTCCATATTTTCTCTGCATCTCTGAATCAATCGGCACCCAAACGCTTTCATAGAGAAAATGTTGAATCCTCCCGTTCAGGTCCTCAGCTAGGAAGTGCTTCTCACACCACCTTCGGAAAATCGAACAGGCGACACTATCAAAAAGGTAAGAACAAGAAGAAAACCACTACCAAGAAGAGGTAAATAAATGAGCCGATGGATCAAGTGAGGTCGTCCAACTTATTTCTTGGTCCTCGACAGAGGAAAAACCGAGCAGGTGATGGAGATAAATTGGGCAGCCCAAGTATTGGCCCGTTAGTTCAACCTTTTGTCGCAGCCTGAGGCTGTGTAAGAAGCTGCAGGTGCTCTGTCAATGACTGAGGCACAAGAAGCCATTGGTGCTATGGCACTACCCGATGAGAACAATGTGTTGATTAAGAGGTTGGATCAACTCCTTGGTATAAGGAGCCTTAGTTTTACTTGTTAGATTTTGAATTTTTTCAATCTCCTTTACTTTATATTGTTTCTTAGTGCCATTGATCCGATTGACTTCAGAAATGACTCGCCTCTGACATATATTGGTGAGGATAAAACTACGGCACTAGTGGCGGCAGCCCAGGCACCGGCCATGAGCGACGATGGGGGGTTGACCATCCAGGTAGTAGCAACTAATGGACGTTGAATGTCACCCAAATCATTGGTCTGATAAATGGAATAGATTGAAAATTCCTTCCCTTGATCGGCTGGGATCCAACGAGAGAAGGAGATGCATGAGTTACTGGTTCATGTGGAGAAGATGGCGGGAGTGACAGCCCTTTCATCTGAAGCTGCCTGAAGTACGAGAAGATTCTCTCGTACAACGAGCTCATGCCTAGATGGATAGAACTTTATGAAAATTTTAGGATACTTTTTCAAATGTGTCGAACTTTATTTGATTCCTTGAAATTTGGGTGTTACATAACCAAACCAAACCAAACCAAACCAAACCAAACCAACCCAACAAATAAAGTGTATATGCCTGGTTGTCCAGGATAGTAAACTGTTTAACCATACATTTTTTCTCGTTATCATGCATTGTAAAGGAATTCTAAGTTCCTTCAACGGTTCTTGGTCAATGAAGCTTTTCTAGATGACACAATTTACGGCTTAATAAAAAGTTCGTGCAGCTAGCAGTAATTACCTTTTTTGACCATGTGAACTTATAGGCTGATAATCTGAGAGATGGTAGAGCCATAACATCATGATCCGATTATGCCAACATTATCCAGAGTTATTTACCTATACCCTTAAACTATAAGCTTCAGGAAGATAACGTAAAAAACATAAACAACACTCATGAGACTTTCCTTTACAATGAGGGAAAACAATTGATCCATAATCACTCAAGGAAAATAATATGAACAAAATAAAACTAGAGGCAAATGATAATTCATTAGAGCTCATATAAAAATTCACAAAACAAGTAACAGGTGGTTTCAATTCAAGGGCTGAAACTAGAGATCATCATCAACCAGAAATAATGACTGCACCTCGAAATATGTTTCTCCGCAGAAGCAAGAAATCGTCACCATCAAAGGACATGGGGCACACGAGCCTCTAAAACAGAAATGAAAAGTATAAGTTAGATTCAGATAAAAAAAGAAGATTCACATGGATACCACTCGATTCTTTTATATTTACATATCTAACACCTATACTTCAGTTTTTACATAAACACCTTCCCCAAGCATGAAAAGGTATATTTCACTTTTTAAAAGTTAAAGTGGTATTTGGGTGGTATAAATGTAATAATTAAAGTTTACAAGTTAGATATATAAATACATAAGAATTGGGTGGTATGTATGTAAATTACCCAAGAACAAAATGAAATTTTAAAGCATGAAAATGCATTATTCTTCTGCATGAAATGGACCAATTGCAAAGAAGCATAACACACAAACAGACTAATTTGACGTAATAAACTCCTGATCAATTTTAGGCGTACCATAATCCGTACAGTAAAGAAGCATCAGCTACCTTTATATCAGTACGGAGCATAATTTTGAAATCAGACAAAAGATGAGAAATTGTGGATTTCCATATGCTTCAGCACGGGAAAGTTTGAAAACCAATGAGCTAGTTGGATTATCCGCAATGGAAACTCATTCAAATTATACAATGCTGATTCTCATAGTAATTTTAGTTAGCTTTTGTGTTCTTGCGGATAGGTTATCTCTAAGTTCAAAACAAGAAAGTAATTGCTGACAGTTAAAGCTTCTGCATCTGTTTATTTGAATCATTTACTGAATAAATTAAGGAAGATTTACATACAAACAACTCGATTCTTATGTATCTACATATCTAGCAGCTAAACTTCAACCTTTTACATACATACCACCTTAACTATGCATGAAAAGGTGTATTACATTGTTGAAAAGTTAAAATGGTGGTGCTTTTGATGTGATGTGAAAGATTTGGGTGGTATAAATGTAAAAAGTTTTGGTGTTAGATATGAAAATACAGGGATATGAGTGGTATGTATGTAAATGGCCCATAAATTAAAATATTCATACAAGTGTGTGTGTGTGTGCATGTGTAGTCACCTTGCTACTATATATAAATATAATATAGTATTACAAATGAGTATACAAAAAGCAGGGGAGGGAAGATCAAGGTCCAAGCTCAGTTAGGCTGAGCGTGAGTCATGATCTGGTAGGTTAGGTGAAAGAATTGTTCGAGAAAAAGAGAGTTGAGGTCACACGATTACGCAGATCTCCCAGTGTTCTCCTGTCTGTAAAATTTTCAGCCCCTTCAGGGCAGTTTGGAATCACTTTTATTTTTTATTTTGTTTAGTTCATGTTTTGGTTTTAAACGAAATGTGTTTGGTACATTTGATTAAGATATAATTGTTTTCGAAAACACTCTTGAATATGATTGTTTGAGTGTTTTCAAAAACGCTTTAGAGTGTTTTCAAAAACATGTTAATTTACTTTTTAAAAAATGTTAAAAACACACCAAACAAATATGTTTTGAAAAGAAAATTGAATCCAAATAAGCTCTTAGTTTCAAATCATTGAGTTATCTATTACAAACTTTTTGTTACTAGTCTGTTGCCTGCTGCTATTCCATCCTTCTGCAAAGTCAATTCCCTGCAGTCTCATGCATTATGGGATATTTATTGATTTAAATAGGGCTTCATGACCATTAGCTGTAAATTGAGAGAGGCTTGTAAATATAAGCATGGGAATCTGAGGTGACATTCAACTTCCTCTCTAATTTAGTTCAGCAAATTTTTAGTTGGCAGTAATTCCTTCTAGCCATCTTTAGGGATAATCAGAACTTGTAATTTTTTTAGAGATACTGGCCTGAGATGTAGTTTTCTATTTGGTGATGGCTAATCTTACTCGGTTTTTGTTCTCAAATTACAAGTGATTGGTTTAAATGACAATCAAGTTTTATCATATTTGATATAATTCTATTTGGGAAGTTTACATACTCAACACAAAATTCTTATTTATTTGCATATCTCAGTCAAAACTTTCATATTTGCATAAATAACACTTTGGTGCTTTAAACCTATGCATGAAAATGAGTTTTCAAAATTAAAAAGTGGAATAAGTGCTATTTTTTATGTGATATTAAAGATTTGAGTGTTGTGTGTAAATATGAAAGTTTAGGAGTGAAATATGTAAATACATAAGAATTATGTGTATGTAAAAACCCCGTCTTAGTTTAAATAGAACATGTGTGTTGACCTCATTTTCAGTGAGGTCTTAGTTTCCTACTCTCAGAACCCAAAATCTAGCCTTAGGAATTTCTTGTTGACCATCTTAGCAGACTAGTAATGGAGCCCACCTCCCGTAAAACTTCAAACCACTTCATGACTCATTTTTTGTGAATAACTCGCATGAGTGGTTCCAAACACTCAACTTCTAGTTGCAATGGCTAAGGACCAACATGTAGAAGGCCTGAAAATGAGTTTCCACAGGATCAGACGGTCTTAGGTGAACCCTCCGCGACTCAGCAACGCACTCGCTACACCACGCACGAAAGTGACATTTTTTTTGGCTCGACCATCTGCGAACTCGCCCGGATGACTCCGGATGACGAAATGGATCACACGGATGCGTCCGGGACGTCGAATTTAACTAGGAAGGACACTCACAATACTATGGTTTCGCGGGCGCAAGTCTGTGCTCAACCCAGGTTCAATCCGTGTCCAAGTCGGGTTGAGCACGAGCTAATCACCAGCTCACGTAATTTTAAATTTCAAAATTCAAAATTCAAAATTCAAACAATGATTTAAAATGGTCTTAATTGAAAATGATTTGATGTTATATTTTTCTAATTGAGCTGGCTGTTTGAAAGGAAACTATTTAAGTCCCCGCCAAAATTTTCAAGTAACGGCTACTTCGATTAATTCTAAAAGGAATGTTTACCTTCTTCCTCGAGCTCTGGGCACGATTTGAGACCCTTTCCATCGAAAAGCAGCATTCGATATCCCCTCTGGCCAAGAGAACTCTCCCGCTCGCTTTCTTCCCCCTGCTCCTCTGCTCGATCCCGCTGGTTTCACGCTCCCAAGCGAAGCCTCTGCTCGATCCCGCTCAACAGGAAGAACCGAAGCGCTCGACTTCTTGCTGCGCCGAAGAACTCCGCCTGATCCTGCTCGCCTGCTCCTCCCTTTAGCACGCGACAAAGCTCCCAGCTCCTCTTCTGCGAACAGAAGCGCTCGACCGAACTCCCTCTTCCTCTGCTCGATTCGGGTCCCCTCGCTTGCCAGCTCTCTCTCTCCCGCTCGACTCTACTCGATTCAGCTCCCATTCGGCTCTTCCAGCTCGATCCCGCGAGCTCTTCCGCACGCAGAAGAAGCCCTGCTCGACCTTGCTTCCACCCTCCTTGATCGACAGAACCCCCCGCTCTTCTCTCCCGCTCGCCTCGTCTCCTCTGCACGGAAGCAGCCCTAAACGGACTCCTCCCCCTTTTGCTGCCTTCTTCCCTGAAAGTTCTGAGATTCGTCGGTACAGGTTCTACCTCCTTGCTTTAACTTTGTTTTCGAATACCTTAATCGAAACTCTTAAGTCTATTTTAAAGTTGGAAGAGAAACAAGATTTAAAAACCGGTAGGAGGTCATCTTTACTGATCTGCATAACTTGGGTTTAAATCTTGCTAAAATCCTGCTACCAACCGCCTCTTGGGGTTTTATGTCCAAGCGAGCCAATGTGAGGGTTTAATAAATAATCCAGATGTGATTGTTGTTATAGCCCAATATTTGTGTAAATTCTCTGATCTTGATAGATTGTTGGGCCGTGTTAAGGCCTCTGTTGGTTCATCATAGTTGATTTTGTTGCTTTCGACTGGTGCAAAGATGTTGAAAGAGCAGATTAAAGCATTCGGTTTACTTGTAAAAGGTCTTAGGATGGGGTGGATTTGTTGATGCTCTTACAGAAGGAGCACAAAATTTCTTTCTTGTTTAAGGTTGTGAACTTACCCTTGCTGAGCAGACTTGATGAGCTACTTAAACAGTTTGAAGCAGCTAGCCTGAAATTTAGAGGGAAGGTTTACATACATGCCACTTAATTCTTTGGTATTTATCATCTAACATCTAAACCCCAATCTTTACGTGCATGCCACCAATCCTACGCATGAAGAGGTATACTTAAGTTTTTTTTAAAAAGCTCAAATTCTGGTATTTTTGATGTGATGTGAAATATTGAGTGTTATAAATGAAAAGTAGAGTTTAAGTGTTAGAAATGTAAATGCATGAGAATCGGGGGGTATGTATGCGAACCTTCCTAGTATTCTTTTATGCTCTTCATGATGTTAATTAAGTACTCCATATGTGCTGAAATGTACTGTAGAAAGCTGCTGTTTGGTTTGGGAGAGCTGTAGGAGCTGTAGAAAGCTGCTGTTTAGGTTTGGGAGAGCTGCAGAAGTGCTGTAGGGCCCTGAAAAGTGCTGTAGGTTGCTGGTTGGAGCTGTGGAAGTGCTGTTTGAAGTTTAGAATTGCTGTGAGAGCTGTTTGGGAGCTGTTAGCCGCTGTAGGTGATTGTTTGGGAGCTGTAAGCTATTGTAGATGGCTGTTTGGGGAGTTTATAGCTGCTGTTTGGTGATTAATAGTTGTTGTTTGAAGTGTATAATCGTTGTAGGCTGCTCTTTGGAGATTTACAAGAGTTGTTTGAGGTGTAGAATCGTTGTAGGCTGCTATTAGGAAGCCTTAGGATCACCGTTTAGAGCTCCTAGTTGTTGTCCCGAGTCGTAGGAAGCCACATAGGTGTTGTTCATTGTTGTTTGGGTTCGTAGAAAGTCATACATGTGCTATTCAAGGTTCCTAACTGCTGTCCGAAGTCGTAAGATCACCATACACACTTACTAGTTGTTTCCCGGAGCCGTTGGAGGTCGTAGGATCACCATACACACTTGCTAGCTGTTGTTACGACTTGTTCTACTGCTCACTCTTTTCTTCTATTCTATGCAATTTATTTAAATTCCATGCAAATTATATTGTGTTTTGTAGGCTAAACATGCAACAGGGATAACAACAGCAGATACGTCACGTACACAGATATATTTTATTTGTTGTTGTTTCACCATTGCAATTTACTCTTACTCTAACACATTATACAGGTACTGATTACAATTTTATTTTCAAAACAAAATAATTTTTCAAAAAATTAAACAACATTTTCAAAAAAAAAAAAACATAACACGTCCTTTTGAATTTACGGAAGTCCCTCGTAGGAGGTAACCCACAATTGCTAACGAGATCTCCCCGGTTTAAATGGATTTCAAAATTCGTTTAAGCTAAGTAAATTCAAAAGGAAATAGTGATACCGGAACGAGGGAACCGTGGGATCATAACTGGTATCGCTCTAATCAACTTTAACATCCCCCATAATATTTAAATGATCATAACCTTAGGAAACATTTGATTTGACATCATGACTTGACAAATTAGAAAACTTAAACCCGCTTCGACGAGGAGTTTGGAGCAGCTTCGTGGGCAGCGCAGCAAGGAGTTTGGAACAGACTACAAGTGGAGGTGATCGTCATTCTACAACAGCAAAACAAGTCTACACCAGTTAAACTTACTTCTTAGTCTAAATAACAACACATAGGACTTCGAGATAGTTCGCCCAGCGCGACGTAAATCCTCAAACCTTCTTTAGGCTCCTGGACAGTCATACTGATCAGTATAAGTCCTAACTCGTCTTAAGTTCCGAGGTTGTCGTCTAGAACAACGTAAAACCTCTTATCTCTTCGGGTTATTTGCATAATCAGTTATTATGCAAGTATAAGTCTCAAACAAATAAATTGACATGATTGACACTCAAATAACATCCTCTCCAAAACTCAGCCACACATTAGGATAGTTTTAGAAGTCACTGAGGTTTCTCACTTTCTCCTCATGATCTGTGACTCATGATATGTGACATCTCCTACATTCTCTTTCTTTTGGACTCCTGAAAAATAATTGTTCCTACTTGAGTCACTCTCATTTGTTTTCCTACATCCTACCGTGAAAATCTAAACCTTGAAATCTTGAAGACTAGTACCTCTGATCATTATCGAAAGTTTTTTCAAGTGACCCCCGTCATTTGGGATGTAATTAATTATATGAGTTTGCATCTATAGGGAATTTAGAACACAGGTAAAATAAATCTTATTTAATATTTATATTAAATAAGGGAACTTGTCGGTCACACATAAAAAGATTCACAAGTCAAACGGATGTCACAAATCTCTTATTTTGCAGGATTGGGTCTACCGCCGAGAGATATACTCACCTTTCGGAAATGTGTAGTATTCACGGTATCGGACACGATTATGCAAACTATTGGACGAATGAGATCTATTTGGTCACATTTTTTCAAAAATTAAAACATACTATTTTCAAAACCAAAAATATCTCTTATAATTAAATTAAATTTCAAAAATTATTTTCTATTTTCAAATCTTCAAAAAGTTGGCCGCTAGTGTGCCAGTGTGACGATTTTTATATTTTCAATTTTCATCTAAAAGAACGAGTAGTTGCCTAAATTAAGAGTTTGTGAGCTATGAATTTGAAATTTTAATAACTTAATTTCTCCATGAAAATTATCAGCGTTGACGATCTGCAAATCACAACATGCAAATCCAGAACTTCAATTTAAAGTCTAGCAGAAGAGGACTCAAAAGCAGGAAAAAAACTTCTTGCCTGCAACAGGTGGAAGAAACGGCACAGGGAAGTCATCTGAAGCATGAAAAGTACTTGAGGTATCTTTAAGTGACAGAGATCAATAGGAAACCTCAAGAAAATTTTCTAGAACCTTTCTAAGCCCCTTCTAACAGATCATTGTTAGCTTATGCAATAAAATTGAGATGTTAACTACTAATCATTCTAGTAATTAGTGTGTTTATGTGAATAGTTTTTTAAATGGAGCATTTGCTACATACCACCAAATTTCTATTTATTACATATCGAGCATCTCATTTTCTTTTTACAAAATTACATCACAAGACATCCTGCATCACATGAAATCAAATTGGCCTTTGGAATGCCTACAAACACCACATTCTTGACTGAATGTTTAATGTGTTTTCTTTTGCCACACACTTTTAAAATGTTTTGTATCAACCCAAACTCTCAACAATCGCGATATTATCTGCTTCGGCCTAATAGCCTCACAGGTTTGTCCCGTTTGTGTACCTTCCCCGAAGGTCACCCATCCCAGGTGTGCTCCAGCACAAGCACGCTAAACTTTCAAGTTTTTATGAAATTTCTACCGTTGAACCAAAAAGCGCCTCGATATTTAAGAATTCGGTTTCATTTTTCTTAAGGGGATTCACAATCTCCCTCACTTAAGTAACTGGTGTCCTCATCAATTTTCTTAACCCAGAATTATCCACCATAAATATAGGATCTAGAAGTGGCTCCCACCATGTAACAATTTGTCCCATCTTGGGTTCAAGAGGTGGCTCCCATGGCGTAGCATTTTCTTTTATATGACACTTAGTTCCCATCTTCAAACTAGTGTGCTGCTCTAATACCATTTGTAACAGACCAAACTCTCAACCATCTAGCCATTGTCCACTTTAGCCTAATGGCCTCACAATTTTGTCTCATTAATGTAGCTTCCCAGAAGGTCACCCATCCAAGTAGTACTTCAAAACATGCTCGTTTAAACTTGAAGTTTATGATGAAATTTCAACCGTTACACTAAATAACGCCTTAATATTCAAGAGTTCAATTTCATTCTATTTAAATGGTTTCACAATTTCGCCCAATTAAGTAACTGAAATTCTCATCAACTTTCTTAACCCAAAATCATCCACCAAACATAGGATTTTAGAATTCTAACAGATTAAAGTCATGGCTCCCAAAATATAAAACTTTATCCTATCTTGAGTTTAAAAGGCGTCTCCCATGATATAATACTTTGTTCTAAATGACATTTAGTTCTCATCTTATAACTGGTGCAGTGCTCTGATACCATTTGCAACAACCCAAATTCTTAGCTATCCCGATATTGTCCACTTTGGCCTAATGACTTCACAGTTTTGTGCCCTTGGTGTAACTTCCCAGGAGGTCACCCATCCCAGGAATACTCCAGAATTTTTGATGAAATTTCAATCGTTACATCAAAAGACACCTCAATATTTAAGAGTTCAGCTTCATTCTACTTGAGGGGTTTTCACATGTTTTGCATAATTAATATACATGGCTAATGACAAAATTTAAATCAATAATTTTTGGATGTTACTTGGAAAAATCAGAACTAATAAATAAAGTTTTTTTGGTCCTAAAGCTCCTCCTAAAAATTACAACATTATAATTAATTTTGATTATATATCATGATTTAAATTCTGTGCCACTCGGATTCAATTGGACAAAATAATAATGCATGCCAACATACCACCTTATACACTCAATTTTTATTCCTTAAAAAACAATACACATTAATTCAAATCAATGATCAACGCTTCCAATTAACCAAGACTTGATAATTTTTAAGAAAATTATAAGTTTAAATACATGAATGCTCATAAAATATTTTAAAAAAAAACAAACTCAAAAGCCAGCAAGATCCTCATAGTGAAACTACAAAGACTACTAAAACAAAGACACCTGAGAAAAGCTCAAAACTTAATCAAGCTCCAAAACCTGGGTCAAAAGTAGAACAAAATAATAATATGAAGAATCTTGGCTGAGAAACCTCTCAACATTTAAACATTAGGTTTTTTTTATTCATAGTGCTACTTTCTTTATTATAATAAGGGCCATCTACATGCATACCATCCAATTCCTATGTATTTACATATCTAACACCTAAATTTCACTTTTTATATTTATACCAACAAAATCTTTCAAATCACATCGAAAATACCACTATTATAAATTTTAAAAAGTAAATACACATTTTTATGTATAAGGTGACATACATATGTAAAAAGTTGAAGTTTAGGTGTTACACATGTAAATACATAAGAATTAAGTCCTATGAATGTAAACCTATAATAAATAAGACAAATCAAGGAAATATGTGAGGGGTACATGTTTACATAAAATACCCATTCATAGCCATGCACTGCATAAAAAGTCCATATTGATGTCCCTAAAAGGATAGAGGAACAACTCTGGGCATCAAAACACACAAAGAAGTAGAAAAAGCCAAAACTAGAGAGGTGACACATAAAGCACGTACCTATGGCATAAGGAAGGGCATTTATGGTTGTTGCAACGTAGCTTCCTCCCACAAATCTGACATAATATTTTCATAATTCAAAGTTCACAAAGCAAAGACCGCAAAAAAAGAGTATTAAACGTACCTCTTGGCAAGATGGACATTCCCCGTCACAACAACGACGCTTACATGCATGGCGGCCACAATCTCGCATTCTTAAGCATTTCCTTTCGCAGATCAAATCTTGATGGCATGGAACCTAAATCAGAATGTAATGCTACTTCAGATGACATTGCATAGTTAGATCTTCTACTCCGAATGTCAAACAAAACATGTACCATCACAAAAAATAATAAGAGAGATTTACACACATACTAATATCTAAACTTTAATATTTAAATTCATAACACTTAAGGTATCATAAACCTATGCAATAAAAGATGTGTTTTACTTAAAAAAAGTAATTAAAAGTGGTATATTTAATGTGATATTAAACATTTAAGTGCCATGCATGTAATTATGAAAGTTTAGAGGTTAGATATGTAAATACATAAGAATCTTGTAGCATGTATGTAAATATCCCAAATAGTAAATCTAAAATACTCTAAACATCAACAAATAAAAATTCAACAACTAATACACCGTAGATAAAGATAAAAAATATCACTCGAGATTATTTATAGAAAAATAAATCTGACTTGATTAACAGGCATAACTTTCAAAAATAGTTATGCACAGTTTCAAAGATCCTGTAGAGATGCATTCAAGCTAAAATCAATGTAAATAGGAGAAACATCTTTCGCATGTCAAAGAAATGAAACTACTTCAAGATGAGATACAGTATAAACAAAAAAGGCCGTGCAAAAATTTGTTTACCAACCAAATACTTCAATGGACTCGATGGATTCATTGAAGCTAATCTAATAGGGCTAAGAATTAGGGAAGCCAATATCCTAGTTCCATGAACAACATCAGACTTCAGTAAAAAAGATTCCACTAACAAATAACAAAAACTGCCACGGTCAAATGCCTTGAACAATTTGATTTCTTGAGTTCTTGATTAACACTTAAGCGCTAGAAAGAGTATTTATATAATAAATTCTTTGGAGGAGGTATGTTAATGGCCAATAAGTTCATTTTTGGATTATCCAAACACATGGTGGAGCCTATACCACTTCCAAGATGTAATGATTCATGCAGATTAGTACTACAAATGATAAAAATAAGAAATTATTACACTAAAAAAGAGATTGCAACAAAGAAAGGGCAAGTTGTAGAGACTAGAAAAGTTTTACAACTTATATTCAAATGTTTTGCATGCTGGCATAAACAAAAACCTGTTCATTCTTAATCAATTAGCAAAATTTAATTCACTATATAATGTTGGATGCGCTTATGCGAGCCATGATTACATTCTGGCCGAGCGTGGATGTGGGATTCCACGTTTCCCATCTATTGTGGGATCAGATTGTAAGAGACCCATAGGGATTTCCCACCTGTGCGTCAATCGGGATGGGATTCTATCCTAATAAGCCTACAACAGGCCTTCCTGCTTGAGATTTTTGTCGCCAAGGTGGTGGGTCTTTTTATTTTATTTTTTTTATTATTTGAAGGCGACTAGGATTACTTTCTTGGATGACACTATTTATATGTATTATTTTTTTTTGTTTTGAAGACTTTTGGTTATTGTTGTTGTCCTAGGAGATGTTCTCTATTTTATGCTCTTCAGTGTGCTATATTATTTTCTTTTGCAAATGGTGTGTCTGTATCTTGCTTAGGAATAGGTGGTGGATCCTCCTCAACCTTTGTACCTCGTCGTTTTGGAGCCCTTTGACGCAGGCGCTACCAATGCCCTAACTCGGGCGCACTTAAAAAGTCCCCCCAGACGCTAAACTGTGACCAAATTTGGGGTGCTTCGATCCCGCGGGATCGAAGCCCTGCGAGACTTTGCGGGAGCGGGAGCGGGAACCTGCGAGAATTCATGAAAGCGAGAGAACCCGCGTGAGATCAAGGAGCCCGCAAACCTTCACGGGGATGAGCAGGCGAGCGGGATCACGAACATGCGCAATCCAGATGGGCGCCAACAATGGAATTTGGATTTTCTGGACTTTTCCGGTCTTCCCACTCTCTTCCTTTGCATAGAAGCTTCTTTTAGGAGTCTATAAATTGTTGTCTTTGGGATGAGGGAGTCAGATTAGAGTTGTGTTTGAGTTTAGCTTCAGATATCCTATGTGAAGCCTATTTCCCCTTTGTGAGTTGTATCCGATAAGATGGTGGTGCTCCGGTTGTATCTCTTTCGTGGTGGTGATTATATCTTCCCCTTTTATCCTCTCCAACCTATCTTTTCACTCCCCTTAACCGCCGACCACTTCAAGCTTCTCTTAGCCACCACACGATCGTTGTCGACCACCCACAACCCTTCCCACTTGTTGTCCCTTCAGTTACACACCTTCCCCTCGCTACCACCCGCCTCCAGTGGCTGCTATCACCCCTTCCAATCATCTTCATCCCTCTATTCAACCTCCACTACCCATTAGGATACATTTAGCAGTTTTGTTGGTGTTGTTTCATGTTTTGAGTTGTTATTTCCGTTTGAGTCATGATGTAATCTTATTTTAATGTTAATGAAAGACTGTTTTTTTGGTGTTTTTACTGTTTTTTCTACTAGTTTCAGTATCATTTCGTATCAGAGCTAGCTCAACCCTAGTCTATCCTAAAGTTCCCCAGCATCCGCCTCTACCCAATTCACCTCCATCAACTTTTTTTTTTCAATTCCCAACCCTGGTCATACCACCACAAAGAGATACATCAAACTCTACTTGGGAAGAGATCCAACGTGAAATTCGTCGTATGCAACAGAGAGTAGCCGAGATAGCTGACGAAAACCAGGAAAAGGATACCTTCGACCTGAATCTGGAGAGTCGAAAGGAAGAAAGAAATGACGATCTAAATCCCTTCCATGAAGAGACTTTGAACAATGAAGAAGACAAGCCACATCGTTTCGAGATCAGTACCAGAGAAGGCCTAGAGAGGGATATTTGAATTCCTCCCAAAGGGAGAATTCCCAAGAGAAGATACTCGTAGAAGGACAGAGAGAATACAGGATCAAGACGGATTTACCTGAATTTGAAGAAGAAATGGATCTGGATGAACTCCTTGAGTGGCTGCAAACTATTGAACGGATCTTCAAATATAAGGATGAACTGGAGGAAAGGCAGGTTAAGCCAAACGACATTAAGCTGAAGAAAAGTGCTTCCCTATGGTGGGAAAATGTGCAGAGGCAGAGGAAGAGGGAAGCCAGTGAATACATCACTATATGGGAGAAGATGAAGAAAGTAATGCAGTTAAAATTCTTCTCACCCCACTATCGCCAAAAATATGTTTCTAAAACTCCAAAACTTACAACAGAGAAACCTTTCAGTAGAGAAGTTCATAGCCCAGTTCGATCACCTACAACTCAATTATGGATTAATAGAGCCGGAAAAGTATACAGTAGCAAAATATCTAGGGGGAATGAGGCTTGTCATTAGCAACGTAGTGCAACTGCAACCATACTAGACACTTGGAGATGTCCAGACACTGGCCTTGAAAGTGGAAAGACAGCAGAAACAGAGCAGACAACAGTCATTATTCAGGTAGCAACCTCCAAACAGATAGCCACCTACAATTACCACAATCGACAAGGACAGACAGGGAGAGACTAGCAAGCCCTGACACAGGAATGAAATTATGGATCAGAGCGAGAAGAAGCAGGAGAAAGGCAGCGCCTCCAACACTGTACCGACCAGGAAATGTTTCAAGTGTCACGATTATGGCCACATAGCCTCCAGCTGCCCCACGAGCAGAGTAGTCTCACTTACCGATCAGGGCATCGTAGAAGGAATTAGCGATAATGAGAAAACCGAGAAACAGGGTGAGGTATATCATCTTCCCTCGGGTGATGGAGAGGCACTCACGATTCAACGAATCATGCAGACCGAGAAAAATAGGGATTCGCAGTGGCTTCACCACAACATATTCTACACCCGCTGCACAGTGAACGAAAATGTGTGCAATCTCATCATCAACAGCGGAAGCAGCAAGAACTGGCGTCGACGCAACTGGTAGAGAAATTAGGACTCTCACAACGCAGAGACATTGCCAGTCATATTCACTTACGTGGCTGAAGAATGAGGACTGGGTCAGCATCGACCGAATATGCTTAACTGAAGTTTCGATCGGAGGCCATCTGCAGGCCCAGGTACGGTGTGACAAGATCCCTATGGATGTTTGTCACCTTCTTCTGGGAAGACCGTGGCAATTTGACCGAATGACTCAGCACAACGATTATAAAAACACATTCTTTCACCAAGGATGGAAAACACATCACCCTCCTTTCGACAGAGGCCGAGGCCACAAGATCTCTTTTCAACAAAACAACATCAGTAGAACCACTTTTAGTGATGACACCAAACGAGGGAATCGAGCCACCCTCCCCCGATTTAGGACAGATACGACTAAGGTTATGTCAGGACAACGTCGTACCAGAAGCACCACCGTCATACGGGAAGGGTCTTTTTCCCCTTATGACAGCTTAGAGTTGTGTTTGAGTTAAGCTTCAAATCTCCTATGTAGAGTACTTTTCCCCTTTGTGGGTTGTATCCAAGAAGGTGGTGGTGCTCTGGCTATTTTCCCTCCGCGGTAGTGATTGTATCATCCTCTTTTATCCTCCCCAACCTATCTCTTTCACTCCCCTTAGCCAACAACCACTTCAAGCCTCTTCTAACCACCACAAGATCGTTGTCGACCACTCACAACCCTTCCTACTTACTGTCCCTTCAGTTCCACACCATCCCTTCGCTAACACCCGCCCCTTGTGGTTGTCACTACCCCTTCCAATCATCTCCATCCCTCTAGCCAACCTCCACCACCCATTAGGATACATTTAAGAGTGTTGTTGGTATCATTTCATGTTTTGAGTTCTCATTTCCATTTGAGTCATGATGTAATATTATTTTAATATTAATGAAAGATTGCTTTTAGTGTTTCTACTGTTTCCCTTACTAGTTTTGGTGTATCACCCTCTTTGTTGTTTTCAGTCGGGACAGCAGCCGATCGACGCCTTCCCCCATCCAAATGTCGTCAACATCACATATTTCGTTCCCTTGCAATTCCACAGCTTCCTTAACGTCTTTTTGTATTTTTTATACCTTATGGGAGCCCTAAAACAGTATCATAAAGTTTTTCTTTCCAAGGATAATTTGCAATGGAGAGAACATCCAATTCTTAGGCATTTACATATCTAACACCCAAAGTTTGATACTTACACTTATAACACCTTGGTATCATAAATCTATGCATGAAAATGTGTATTTCACTTTTAAGAAGATGGTGATGATTGTATTTATGATGTGATGTTAATGATTTGAGTTGTATGCATGTAAATATGAAGTTTTAGATGTTATATATTAAAAAAATAAGAATTGTGTGGGATGTATGTAAAGGTTTCAATGAAAAATGGAGCAAATACTTGCTTGCAGACCTTCTAGAAGGCACTTTAATTCCCAAAAAAGACGGAAGATGAGAAACAAAAAATGTAGCATACACTGGAGAGCAAACATTCACAAGCACTGATTATAGAGTGCTCAAAGAAAATGTTACTCTCAGATGAACAACAGAGTTTTTTGTTAAAACAACTTGAAATGCAACATAAAATAAATCCCTACAACAGCAAATGCACCCAAATTTTACTCTCAAGAATGTTGCTGAATAAATGAATGATGTCAAAGTAATCCCATCAACTTTGCATTGACTCAAAAAAATAAAGTTACAAATTAAAAGTTTCTTTTGTTATTGTTTAGAATTTAAGAGAAAATGTGATCAAGCACAACTTTCTCATTGTTTAATCTTCTACGTTCACTGATTTTAGTAATCACATTGTTTTAAAATAGGCTAAAAGGTTTCACAATAAAATCTCTCTCACAAACTTTCTTGTGCAAAAGTTAACAAAATTTCATATAAAATATCATATGCAATGCAATGGAATTTTCGTAGGTAGCATAGCCCTACAATAGAGAATTCAAAAGATTAATTTTGTTGGAGACATTGCTAAATGAATTTCTGATAGTTCTTCGAGGCATTTGAAATTAGGCTCAAAATGCTTCAATCTGAAGCCAATTTTTCAATTTCGTTACGTAAGTTTCAAAAGATTATTTGAGATTGAATGTAGCAGTCCCTACTAGGCTACAATGAAATCACTGAGATGATAAGAAATAAATTTTCAGAAGTCAAAATGATGTCTAATTTTGAATATTATTTCTCTTATGGAAAGAACTCTTCTAGACGATAATGCACATGAAATTACTTAAATTGTTTTGAATTATAATTTGATGTATTTTCGTAAGCACGCACAAATCCAACATTACCAATGTGTCACCTTGATGGTTGTTTTCCAATGGAAAGAAGCAAGATGGAGGGCCTCTGTCAATAGTATCTGCATGAAGTTCACTAGAAGCAGAGAAGGTAGCTGACTAGAAAGCAAAATATTTCAAAAATCCTTTTGTGCTTACCAGGCATATGTTAAACATCATAGATTGTACATGTTTAGTAAATTTCTGACTTAGGTTAAATGGTCAATAGGCATCCCTATGCCAAGTCCAATGAGCCCAAGTAGCTATACATCAATGTGTTTATATTTTACATGGTTACTTCGATGTTTATATGCCTTTTTCATGACTTTTTGGTATTTTATCTATAATATTTAATATCAAAATCATATTTAATGACTAATGCTAATACAGTTAATGTTCTTTAGGATTAACAACATTTGATAAAATATTGTATAATTGCAATTAAATCAACGTTAGCTTTAATTCTATTCATCCTTAAGTTTTTTAAGTGATACATATGATATTATGCTTTACTGTCTAATTTTATTTAAAAGAAACAATTGACATGTGATGTTTTGCTTATGTATTTTATATCAATAATTTATTACAAATATATTATATCTATCAAGTATTGAGTGTCGTCTAATGCCCAACATAGTGTCAATGACCATGCTTTACAGGCAACTGACAATAATTCGACTGGATATGATTAACTGCTCCATAAAGAAAATAGAATTGTTGTCCTTACATAGGGGCATGTGCTAATTCATAAAATGAAATTTTATGTAATGGCATCTTAACATGAATGTCCTTTTGGTATGTAACCTTAACCGCAAACTTGTTTCATTCCTCGATGAGACTACTTGACTTAAAGAGAATGTGACAAAAGTTCTTTTTTGAGTTTAAGTGCCTTAGAAAAGGGACTCGTGACTCATTCAAGGAGCAACTACCTCCCTTCAATGGGAATGCCATGGGGTTAACATTAGCTAATGGCCTAGAAAACAGGTGGTACCGAAATAGTACATGAATTCTTATTGTCATAAATGTGAATTCTATCATATGAAGACCTTTTTTCAAGCATCAATTTAAACATGATTGTTGAACAAGGCAATATCCATTCTATTTTCAAAATATATAGCAAACATAATGCAATAACAACACATTTAACAAATTGTACTGCACAACAAATATATATGTATTTCATGAAATATTGTAACCAGACCTCCTTCTTCAAGCTCCCACACCGGCAAGCCTTGAGAACCACAATCCTGCAAGTCTCCACACAAATCCCACGGTGGCACCTTTCTGGGCACCTATGAAACCCGCAACTCAACATCTTCTCGCATGTCAAACCACAAGTTGGCACAATCTCATCACACGAAACCCCCTTATACTCCTTTTTCCCACAAGGACAAGTTCTCCTACCTTCCAGAGGGCAGGCCCCACAGGATCCAGAATGGCAACCACGGCCGCACTTGTGCTTCCCGCACCCAAGAATTCCATTACAAGGCCTATCACATCGAAACTCACTCTCAGCGCAAACTCTCTCCTCCTCTGTCTTCCCACAAGCGCACTTATACAAGGCCTTCACCTGGCAAGGCGGGCATGGACCGTCATGGCAGCGCTCGATGCACAGGTGGGTGCGGCATGGCAACAACTTAGAGCACACCTGATTGCATGAGAAATGCTTTTGCGCGCAACGGCGGGCATCTTTTTGAGAGCCGCAGAAGCAACGGGCAGTGACGAGCTTAGGACACGGTGGGCAAGCCCCAGGGTGGCAAAGTAAAAGGCATTCATGGCCGCAGTTTCCGCGCAGAGGACGTCCGCAGACCTCCCCACACGAGTGTGGGAGGATCCATGGATCGGACGGCGGGTCCTCTAGCTTGCCGCAAAAACAACGATAGGATCGGGGAATCATGTCTCGAACATAGGAAATACGACATTTGGGGCAATGCCAGTCTGAGGAGTGGAGGGACGAAGAAGAAGTGGGCCGGTGGGAGCATTGGTTAGCCCAATTCTGGATGCACGGAAGGTGAAATAGAGCATGGCAACCGGAAGAACAGGACCAGACGGGATCGGACGGGCGGATGCGTTCCAAACAAATGAGGCAGGAGACGAAGTGACCGCCGCGGCCTGCGGCGGCGGATAGGAAGGAGCGAATCTTGATAAGATCAAGGGAGGGAGAACCGCCGCCATAGATCTGGAGATAGGCTGCAAAAATGGAGTCCTCCAGAGGAGATGCGCGCGAAACTGCGGCTGCTTCATCGCCGCCGCTGGTGCTTCCGCTATCGGAGTCGGAAAGAAATGGAGTAAGGTCCGACGGCGGACGTAGGGCGGCGGCGTAGGCCATTCGCGCGGAGGACTGTATCCGCTATCGGAGTCTGTCAATTAGGTGTACCGTTATCTCGGTGATTTGCCGCGGCTTTGAGAATAAAAAGGGGATTGGAGTTAATTCCAAGGATGAACCACTATAAGTGTTCTTGATAGAGTTGCTTGAATATCCGACCTATAGAGATTTTTTTGATCAAGGTGTTCGATGATCACATGGTGGCATATCTATGAAATTTTTATTATTCATGAACATTTGAGAGACTTTTTTTATTTACAATCACTTGGGATATTTAAATTTGTTTATTATTTTTCATTTTGATTTGTATATTTCAACTACTTATATGTTTATTGTGTTGACGTTATATGATTTTAGCTAATTCATTGTTGTTTATGTGTTAGTCAGTACGATACTAATCTATTTGGATGCAACCAGAGAAAGAAGCAAAAGGAGAATTGCAGTTGTCGTATGTTTTATCTACGAATATTATAACTCATATATAGATCGCTCTTCTTGCATGACTTTCTCATATGTTGGGGACAAATGAGTTGGGGAGTTGCTTGTAGGCCACCCAACGAGATTTAACAAATATGTTTCGCATGACACAGGCGGTATTCAACGATTTGTTAGAGGAACTACACAGTAATAATGGACTTCATGACTCTTCAAGGACGACTTCGCGAGAGGTGTTAGCGATAACTCTCTACATATTATTCCAGAATGAATCATGTGATTAGTAATGGAGCAATTTCAGCAATCCTCCGAAATAATTTGCAAATACTTCTCTGTTGAGTTGAAGGCACTTGTGAGCTTTTCTTCACAAGTCATAAACCTCGTCGATCCTACGTTCGAATAGAGCCTTACAGAGATTTCACGAGATGCACTGTACATGCCGTTCTTTAAAGTAACATCTCAAATTCATTACATTCAATTTTTAAAAAGTGATGTTATTACGAACTCAACATTATTTTACTAGGATTGTATTTGAGCAATTGATGAAACGCACATTGACTCACGTGTTCCCAATAATGAGAAGATTGCATTCATTGGTCGTTGTGGGAGCTCGATGTAGAATGTTATGGTCATTTGGGACTTCAACATGTATTTCATTTTTGTTATGGCCGGTTGTGAGGGAAATACACATGACAGTAGAATTTTCAAATCTGCGACACGAAATGTCGCTTATAACTTCTCACATCCTCCTGCAAGTACGCTTGAGACTCGATTAATCTCATAATTAACTTTTACCTCAATATTAATTATGCAATTCATATCACGTAAATACTATTTGGTTGAAGATCTAGAGCTCTATATTGATACGAGATATCACATACCGGACTTTGAGAGAGCAAGCAATGTAACACGAGACAGAAAAGAAATGTTGAATAAAAGACATTCCTTCTTACGTGGTGTCATTGAGAGGATTTTGGTGTTTGGAAGAAGAAATGTGTTATACTCTGCGATATGACATCCTGCCTGTTTCCCAAACATAAGCATATTATGATTGGCACGATGATTCTCCACAATTATATTTAACGGTATCCTTCCCGCAATGAAATCAACTTCTGTATGGTGGACAAGGATCATGGGCATGTACCTGTCGAGGGATTTGAGTATCACCTTGGACATTCTTTGTCTTAACTTCAGAATGATGCTTCCACCACCTGTACTAAAGATGGGGAAGGTGCTTGCGAGAAGATAGTTGAGGGAACAAATTATGGCCGCGATAGTAGAAGGGTGATTGAAGTATTTCTTCTTTATTTAATGCTTCTTGTACTTTATTTATTTTATTCAAAAACACTTGTATTTTACATTTTATATTGATTGTTTGAACTTTTTTCAGTATTTTGTAAGTGTATTTTTTTTCCTATTTGCATTTCAATTGTTTTTTGTTTTGTGGGTTTGAGAGGTCAATGATAAGACGTTTGACCTTAAGGGTTCTTCTAGATGACATGTTAGTCGTTGTTGGTTGGCGTTACATGTGAAATCCTAATGAAGGCAACCAAGTTCCTCTCTTCTTTTCGGCGATACAGTTTTTGAGGATCTTTTGGAAAACCTTTTTTAGGGATATGCATATGTGACAGACACGAGCTTGATTTTACGTGAGTTAAAGACAACCAAGAATCATTTTTTTTTACAAGGTCCATTGTTTTCTTGTAGGGACAGATTTGTTGTGAGAACTCGTTGGTTGGTATACTGAGTTCTCTGAGACCTCACCCCTGCACAAAACTGTAATTACTTACATGTGTGACAGACACGAACTTAGTTTTACGTGGGTTAAAGAAAACCAATAACCCTTTATCTTATAAGGTTTATTATTTTTTTGAAGTGACAGATTCGTTGGTTGATATACTGAATTCTTTGAGACTTCACGTCTACAAAAAACTGTAATTAGTTACTTCTTTTAGCAATTTTAACTTTATGTTATGACTAATGTATTGTCTTTTGTAGCATTCACGAAATATGAGCTTCAGGATTTCAAGGACCTCCTGTCGATTGCTCAACAACTACGAATTTCAGACTTCCCTACTTACGTCACGTCAGGCACATCACTGCGGGAGACAGCTCTACAGGTGCCTGCAGAGAATTACGGAAAAGTGGGCAGACAGTCCGACAGATTTCACTGCCGACAGTAATTGAGAATGAATAACATCTTTGGAGGATGATGTAGCTCGTGACGTGCATCGTATGCATTTCAAAAATATTATTATCATATTATTAATTGTAATTTTAATAGTTTTTTTGGTAATCTTTATACTCATTGTCAAGTGATGTGTTATCATATTTTTTGTATTGTTTGATGTGAATTTTTGTTTTTAAATTATCAAATATATTACTTTGATAGCTCTTCCACAAACAACATCACTACATATTGGCAGAATGATCATTTATCTAGAAACAGTTACTACACAATTATTTTTAAACCGCAGAAAACAAACAACCTATTAAATTATCCACAGCAACTTCCTGGAGCAGTTGCTGCTCAGCAGATTACTGATAAACTGTAACTACCCCAAACAAACCCTAAATTAACACGAGCCAGCTCAAACTGGCTTAACAACGGTCTAAGAACATAAGAAATAAGATGATTTACTCACATACCATTTAATTCTTATGTAATCATATTTATAACAACTAAATTTTATTTTATAGGGGCATTTACATAGACAACACCCAAGTCTTATGCATTTACATTTCATGCACTATCATTTGATGTTTATATTTATATTTACAAAATCCAAATTTTTATATCACATCAAAAAGATCGCTATTATTAACCAAAAAAAAAATATATAAATGTATAAACTATTATAAATACAAAATTTTAAATTTAAATATCAAATTTACAAAAATAAAATAATTATTGTAATTTAATAAGTCATATAAATGAATTAATATCTCAAATTTTATTTCCAAGAATTTTGAAACAAGAAGTTTTACAAACTCTGTCAACCAAATGCTTGTGCAAAGACTTTTAATAAACTCTTCTCTCTAATTAGGGATCCAAAATATATTGCAATCATTAATTTTCTATATAATTATCAATGGGGGCTTAAAAATAGTAACCGATATTTACAAATCAACCCCCTTCTTTCATCCATTTTTCAAAGTCTAACCAAAATATGACGTATTTTTCATTTTTATTAAATTCTATATAATTTGATCATGACATGCGTAAATACAACAGTTATATAATTAAAAGAATCACATGAATACTTAATTTATAAATTTCAATGTCTCGAGTGATCTGCACTTAATTATCACGTTTAATGTTATTTAATTTAAAATTTATCCTTAGGTACTTCGATGAAATTTGTTAATATTCATGATTGATCGTAATTATTCGTAAAAATGAGGGCATTTTAATAATTTCGTCAATCGAACGAATCAAAATCAATCCACACAAAAATAAATGTTACATTATTATCATTATATTGAACAATTCACAGAACATAACACCAAATGCTATGTATATACATTTTTATCCCCAAATCTAAATCTTTCATAATACATCCCCAAATCTTTCATAATACATCAAAAATACCACCATTTCAACATTTAAAAAGTGAAATAATATTTTTCATGCATAGGTAAGATAATAATTATGCAAATACATAATAATTGAGGGTTATATATGTAAATATTCCTAAAATGGACCAAAATCCTTCAAAAAAACCTCTAAAATATAATATATATTTTCACATGATGTAAAAATATATGACAAGTGAAATGGCATAAAATATCTAATAAAGAGCCACTTTGCTCCAAAAATGTTATGACCTTTTTTCATAAATATAACTTTTAGGCAAATTTGCATGCATGCCACAATTCTTATGCACTTAGAATCTAATTTCTACTTATAACATCTTGATCTCACTAACTTATGCAAGAAAAGGTATATACTTTACCTATAAATAGGTAGTGATAGTTGTTATTATAATTTTAATTTTTATATTATATTATGTCGTAACGTTAGTATAAGACGATGGATTTATAACTGTCATAGATGAAAATGGCAATCCAATCTTTCTTCCAAAAACAGCTGCAGCACAGCAGATTCATAGTTAACAAAAGCTTTTCCTGCAGTGACTTCAGAACTGTTTTTTAAAACAGCTATGTTTGCCCCAAACAGATCCTAAGCTAAGTCACGAGTACGGTTGATCATGGTCGAACCTAACTCAACACAAATTTCGTTCTACAATTACGAACAGGCCGGCGAGTTGAGTCTAACCTTAGAAATAAGTTATTTGGAACTTAGATTGATTAAAATTTATTCATGAGGTAAGTTTGGATAAGGCTATACCCATGGAACCAAGCTAAACAATATTAACTACTAGGCTAAGCTCAATAGGGTGACCTCTCCTGGTGACTATAAAGATACTACAATTATTTGGCAATAAATAAAAAATTATTTGAAGGAAAAATAGCAGTGTAGCCATGCAGAAAAAAGACTATTTCCATTTTCAACCTCAGATCTCAAAGGATGGAGAAAAATTTGTGTGCGTAAGACGTTTGTAGAGTTATGTATATAGGATGTTATTCAAAGGGTATTATGGGGTTATAGGTAGATTACAGAGATGTTGCAGGGGGTATAACGTGGATATAACCCCCCCAATACCCTCTGAATAACCTCCGATGTACGCAGCTCTGCAAACGTGTAACACACGCAAATTTTTCTCCAAAGAATAATAGATATATCCTATAATTGGTATAATACAAGACAAATCAAGTAATTTCTCCTAGCTTAGATCTGGCCTAACAATGCATCTATTATTTACATCCATTAAAGCTGAAACAATACCAACAATTTACACAAATCTTAATCATAATTAATAGAATAATGATTGAGACATCACTAACACAATAACACATAACTTCAGAATTTTCATTCTTCCAAAACTCCTGGACTTAACAACAATATGTACAACAGTTTTAAGTACTACAAAAAACAGAATACAGCACAAAGGCAGTAAATACACTCATTTCAGCAAACATGCAAGGCTTCAGATAAATAAACACAACAGAAAGAAATAAAAATAAATAAAAAAATCTCAAACAAATTCGAAGCGCATAAGAAGCTTGACAGACTTGAACTTCATACCTTTCCGATCGAAGAGCGGCACGGCACGGATTCCCGGTCTCAACTCGGAGACTGGCAGGCAGGTTTGTCCTCCGAAATCATCCTTTTCAGACATGTCGTACTCGTGCACCTCGACTCGAAGTAATGCAAGTTCTGGTACTGTGAGAGGAAAAGTGAATTCTTCATCCCAGACTGGCACCCAGTTATCTTCTATAGCCTTTGTTTTCTTCATTATGCTGTCAGCTGGAACTCCAGCTATTCCAATCTACAGCAGTTTTGGTAAATTATTATTCAGATATAATGCTTCAATGTGCTGCGGAAAAGCCAATGGCATGTTTGGGGTCACTCTTGCTTTGGGAAATTTACAAACATAGCACACAATTCTTATATATTTACATATCTCACACCTAAACTTTCATATTTATATACAAGCACTAGTATGCTTTAAACATTGTATGAAAATATATATTTGCCTTTGAAAAGTTGGTATTAGTGCTATTTTTTATGTGATATTAGAGATTCAAGTGTTATATATGTAAATATTAAAGTTAAGGTGTGAGTTGTGTAAATATATAAGAATTGTGTGCTATGTATGTGAAGAAAAGGGAGGAATTCTCAGAGTTCTTATTTAAAATCTTCAACTAAAAGTTTACATATGTATCCATATATGGAAGCCGATCCCTCATAATTTGCAATCTTACCAAATATATCAAGCCTAAACATGAAAAAGAATATGGAAAGAAAATAATTCTGAAATAAACATAAATACGAAGAGAAAAGAAAATAATAAAGAAGTTTTCCAAATTATTTCCAATTAATAAGGGGACTGCTCCTATATTTCCACAGGGTGTAAATGCCCCTTGTTTTATGTTTTTTGCTTGCATTTAAAAAACATGATTGTTTAGTGTCATTTTTTATGATTTTTTATATTTTTTAAATAAATATACTTGTTTTTCAAGACACTCAAAACACATAAATTTTTTTTGATTTTTTTTTTTAAAACAAATATATTATAACATAACAAAAATGCTTTATTTCAGGAAAAAACATATACAAAATAATATATATATATATATATATATATATATATATATATATTAAAAATAAAAAATCAAAAGTGATCCCAAACGTCCAAGCAAAATAGATTGAGTCTGTTTGAGTCAGCTTTCATGAATTTTTATTTTCCATATAACAATCACAATACCAATAGATTTCTTGAATTTTTCCACAATTTTTGCAGTGAGAAGCCAGCTTTTCAAAAGAAATCTACAGAAATGTGATGGCTAAAAGAAAGCTATTGTCAGATTTTTTAAAAAGATGAAACAAAAATCTATAATGCTGCGACAGCTTACCAAAAAAAAAAAAAACATGGAGGATTTACATATATAGCACTCATTTCTTATCTATTTACCTATCTAACACCTAAATCTCAATTTTGGAATATATGCCACCTTACTTACGCATGAAAGATGCATTTCAAATTTTAAAAGTTAAAATAGTGGTGTTTTGACATGATATGAAAGATTTGAGTGATAAATATAAAATACAAAGTTTAGATGTTAGATATGTAAATACATAAGAATTCAGTGGTATATATGTAAATGCCCCAAAAATTATTTTCCCAGCAACAAACTTATAAGCCATATCTAAATTTTTGTACCTTCGCATAAAAGTCAGGTGGAGAGTATGTGTCAAAATGTGTTTGCTTGAAGTCAAGCCGCCAACCATCCCCGAGATACACTTTGACCTGCGGAAAATGCGGAGTGAGGTGGGTCAGTTTTAGCTTCTGGTACGGTCATCAGAATAGATAGAAAAAAAAAACAAAAGATGGAAGATTTTGACACTTTATATATATATATATGTCATCTTACCCATGCATAAAGAGGTGTATTTCACGTTATAAAAGTTGAAAGAGTGATATTTAGGAGTTAGATATGTAAATACGGAAGAATTGGGTGGTATGTATGTAAATTCTTCAAAAAAGACTCACCTTTAACGTTTTCTTCACAGGCAAAAGTGCTTTGGGATCAAAAACTTCACCATTAGGGCCTTCCTTCAGCAAGAAATCAGGTTTTTTCACATATCCAGACCCGCCATTGGCTTTATAGAATCCATGCATCAACCAAAGTGACCTACCATATCCCTACTAAAAAGAGGAAAAATCATCAGAGTTTCCCTAATATATGTGTATATAGATATGTATACACAGAGTTTAGATGAGTTCAAGTGTGTTAAAGTTATAAAAAATTGGCCTTGCAGAAAGAGAAGAATTCATTGAGTGCAGAAAAGAGGTGGTAAGCTTGGATTTTCTTAGAGAACAGTCCGCGGTAGAAGATCAATGCGCTCAAAAATCAAAAAAAAAAAAGAAAAAGAAAGAAAAAAACTCTTCTGCCGGAATTTTCTCGAAAAAATGTTGGCGTAAAACCTATTCATTTATTTTTTAAAAATCCCATGGTTTTATAATTGAAAGAACCATAAATAATCACTTTGTGTTTCAAAGATAGACCTAGGAAATGAGATGAGAAATGTAATGTTTGTAGCAATAGAAGATAATGCATAAACCCCGGTGTTTTATGAAGTATCCATACAATAAGCAAGACATACATTACAAGAATTTAAAGGAAATTTAAAATTTTTATGAATTGAATTTATTGAGTAAAGTGCCAAAATAGTCCCCTAAATATTTACATGGCGTAATTTTAGTCTTGTAGTATATAAATATGTCAAATTAATCCCCAAGGATAAATTAGTAATTCTCTGAGAATCTCTAAGTCCATATTTTAAAAAAATGGGGACTAAATTATCATCCTTCTCTAAGTCTATTTTAGCCCATATTTTAAAAATATGAGGACAAAATTGATATTTTTATAAACTTTGGGACTAAAATGAGTTTGGGGACTAATTTTACACTTTGTTAGACTTTGGTACTAAATGATGCCCTACAAAGAGCATCAGGGAGGGTCATTTTGTCACTTTTCTCATAATTTATTTATTATAAGCAGCATTAATCATTCATGTTATTCTGAACAGAAAACAATTGCTCCATGTTGTGTTGCGCCATTGTGTAGGCATCAAACCCTGATTTTCACAATTGCTCCAAAGAACTGTCTAAATTTGAAGTTACTCCGCATCTACTCCAGCTTTCTTAAAGGCAATAAACTCATATTCAGTAGTAGATCAAGGAGCATAAGCTTTTTGTGAAGAAATTACTACAATTTGAATACATAAATGATAAACACCAATAATTTGAATACATAAATGATAAACACCAATAATTCAAGAGGTGGGCAATCTCTCCAAAATTCTACAATTCGAGAGGTAAAAAATCTCTCCCAAACCCTAAACTAAGACTCCAGGCACAATCTCCGGCATAACTTCAGACCTAAACAAATTAAACCTATTTATACCCAACATTAATAAAAATGACAAAAGACTAAATTGCCCTTAGGCACTGACATAAAATTTAACCAAAGGCCTATACACATTTTATAGATCAGAGGGTTAGAAGAGCCTTTTCCGAGTCATAGTGTCTCACGACACCAACGACATACGTCTTATAGACCGGTAGCAGACACTTCCTAAAGCCCCTCTAGGAGGGGGAGATACCGAGAGGCTGCTGAAATCTAAGTTGATATGGACTTGCAAATGATTTTAAAACTTGAACTATTTGGACTTACAAATGATCTTATAAGTTGAAATATTTGGATTTTAAAATGATATAAAACTAAAATTAAAGAAAAATATAAATTGTGATTTGAAAGTCAAAATAATCATTTAGATTATAGTTCAAGTCCTTTCAAGAGAATAAAATTGTGTATACATAGCATATAAGAGCGTATGAATAATTTGATAGCATATAATTAATGTGGTTGGACTTCTCTTTGAATTCAATTTCGATCATATTGAAAATGTTCAAACATAAATCTATATCCTAATAAAAATGACTATTTAAGTGATCTATTTAAATATATAAATTAGGGGTAAATTCAAGTGCATAAATGCCATTTTTAAATACTAAACAATAACTTCATGTCAGTCGCCACCATATACGCAACTCAATTATGCAGCCAAGCAAAAGGTGATTAAAGTATAAAATGAAAATGTTGCATGCAATCTAAAGTCATGATATTAATTCAAATATTAAAATATTGAATGAAATTTTTATTTATATATATAAATTCTAAAGATATTTTTCAAATTAAACATTCGCCACCGAATTCACGATTTATTTGTAAGCGAACAGAAGGAGATACCTGAAAGTTTAAAGTGAACCTCTATATTCATCAATGTATTCATCAAATAAGGCAAATTTATATAACTTCAAGTCCTACATGTCATTTAAACAGTTCTTGATTCAATTCACATATTAAAATCATGTAAATTGCCTTAGGATATGCAAAGGTATCTAAAATGGTCAAATATATAAAATCACATGCATGCATGTGCTTTGACCTGTATGTTAAATTTTCAATTAAAAGATTTGAGAATGTTATGCGAACTAGCTTAAAATCATGTTTGAAATGACTGCATGTGCTCAACCAATTTGGCTAAATATCTAAACTTGAACGGTTAGAGAATCTGCGTGGGTTAAGGTTAAACTTTCACTCAAACAATTCTTTCCCCGATAATCATGCAAAGTTTTCTTTTAAAAAATCTATGATTATTTTAAAATTATGAACCTTATGTCTTAAAAATTAAGTCCAAAATAATCAAACTATGTTCCCCCTCAATTGTGTCGTATTGTCTATAAGACAGAACTGTAAATTCTACTCATCTAATCTCGTCATCCTCTTAAGAACTGAAAATTGACGAGTGTAGTACTTTTAATATTATCCAAATAAAAAGAATTAAATTTTTTAAGTCTAAATCACCAAGTATGGTACTTTTTCCCCGTAAAAATTGAAGCTGATGAGACTAATATTTTAAAAATCATAAATTGACAAAATTTAAATGAATTGTAAGTATAAGTGTTTCCAAATATCCAAATCCTGATGATGGTCGAGTTAATAAAAGATTTCGACCAGAGGATTCTATTTTCAAAATTAGGTTCTAAAGAATATTTGAATAAATTCAAATTATATAAATTCTGAATCCAATCCTATATAGACAAGTTGACAAGATTCAATTCAATCAATTACTCCCAGATGGTGGCAGTGTTGACTGAAAATCTCAACCGGAGGGATCAATTTTTAAATCAAGCCCTTTTAAATCAAGTTTTCAAAATAACAAATTAAAACATTGAAGCTAAAATCAACCAGTTAAAATATTAAAGCAAACTTCATTTACTCTCTGTAACAATTTGTAAAGGATGACAAAACATTTTAATTGACTTCAGCTCATAGAAAACAAATCTCACGTCCAATGTATCAGTACATTCACTCTCAAAGAAATTTTATGCTAGTAAAGACCTGGCCCGAGTCATCTATCCACGTGGATTGGCCTAACGGCTCCATAATAACGGTTTCAATCAGAGGCCTCTGGCAGAGTGATTGTCGCCAAATGACTCCATTAAATTAAGGTCATAATAACGACCCGTATGTTCCCCAATGACTTTCTATCATTTTTACTGTGAATCATAGAGTAAATTTGATTGCACAAAGAATCCTATTAGCTAACATCAACTTAAATTTATCCCCTTAAAAAAACATCCACGTCAGATCTATAAGAGTCTGTTGGACGATGAATCCATAATTATTGACAAAGATACTTCAATTAGGTTGGTCGACCACCTCCCTAACTAAGTAGATCGGGAACCACAACGGCACATGATAACAAAATCATAAGATATTGATCGGGATCGTCATCATTTCCTCCATCATCCACTTTTAAGCTCAAGATCGTAAAATTTATAACATAAAACGTGTTTGCTACTATTATACACTGAATATTCAGTACTTAATGACTAACCTTAATCGAAAGTACATTTCTATTATCATAAAGGGTAATTAACCATAGGGAATTGCTCATATTGGAAACCTTGAACCCTATATTAAAAAGTCATCAGAAAATGAGAGTGAAATCTCTGGGTAGTGTATTATCTACAATCCAATCTGTCTTTTGAAAATTTAATCTAAATCAAACACAAAGCTCTCACAACCAACGAGAGTTCCAGGCTTCAAATTTTGAGAGCCCACAATGTACAAACCTTAAATAATATTCATTATTCAAGCATATTAGAACTACTTTGTTTACTACACTTTAATTAAAAATGTAATTGGTCCCTATATTCACAAAATGATAAATATCTTTAACTTTATGTTCCAAACGTCATGCTGCTTTTGCTTCACTAGCAAAACTTAAACAAAATAGTTGCTATGAAATTTTCCAAATTATTAATACACAATAAAAACTCCTCAACATCATACCTCATGTCAACAATGGAAATTATAATGTTGAACATTGTAGTGATGTTGTCCAATAGAATCATAGCCTACCTAATTTTTTTTATATTGCATCTTTTATTGTTTTGTTGATTGACGAAATTATTTTGCTAAACTTCTAATTCGAATGAAAATACAATATAAGCTCCAAAACCAAAATTGATGCTTGACATTTTAAGGACAATGATTTTCTAATACAAGATGGATACATAAAAAACATCAAAATTTGATATATGCAGCAGACCAAATGTTAGCTAAAACATGAAATCTTAGAACCAAAGCCAATTAATAATCTAAGGATTACTAAATTTTGATTTTAAACATGAAATCTGGGAATAGAAAAAAATGTAATGATCAAAATTTAAAAGTGAAAACAAAATTAGCATTGTTAAAAAAAAATTCAATAATGCATCCAAAAACCAATAACAAAGTAAATAAATGTAGAGAACAAAGATAAAAATCAGCAAATGAAGACCCATGCCTCATGTAGGTGTAAGGATAAATATCCCACAAAAACTATCAAAACATCTACAGCGCACTCAAGGAATTCACATCTAATAGCACATACATAAGTTTTGAGAACATCTATAATGGCATTAAGTTAACATTAATATTTGCAAGAGTACGGGTCATGTTGATAAATTTAAAAGGCCGTCTGACCTTAAAATCCAATTCGTGATTCAGCCAGCACCTAAGAAAAAGTTTTAATATGCTGCAATGAACATAAAAGGAAAACATTCTAGAGACGAACACTACTATAATAGGAAAATCAAGATGAGAAGGAAACGACACAATTATCAAGATAATCAAAACATTAGAAATTCGGGAAATTTACATAGCACAAAAATCTTATGTATTTACCTCACATCTAAACTTCCATATTTACATACATAGAACTTTGGTGCTTTAAACCTAGACATGAAAAGGTCTATTTCATTTTCAAAAGTGATAATAATGCTATTTTTTATGTGTAACAAAAGATATGAGTGTTATGCATGAAAATGCAGAAGTCTAGGTGTGAGATATGTAAATACATAAGAATTATGTGCTATATATGTAAACGCACCTAGAAATTATATCTTGTTCTAATTGACACGAATATCAAAGGCATACTATGTCAAAAATAACTTCAAAATAAAAAATAAGACAACATCAAATTTCAATATGTTGATATAATCATCTCAATTCACATGATTGGGATTTCGGATAAGTATACACTTTTAGATTTGCATCACTATCATTCCCGGATCTCACATTCACCATAAAATTATCATTTTTTTATACTTACACTTGTCTATCAATAATTTCTTAGGCTAACATAAGTTAAGAATTCCAGAAATTTTCCATTAAATTTAATTCATCTTCCCTACTCCCCCTTTCAAGCAGTGGTAGCAGCAAGAGGAAATCAGAAGTCTTTCTATTTATTTTGAACGGAATGGATGCATGTGGCGTGTCCATGTTTTGATTAGTTAAGCCACATGAGGTAAGTTTACAGAATAGAGTTTGGTTAAAATGAAATGATTTTAAGTGAAATGCTAATAAAATTTACATTTTATATGTATAACAGCTAATAATTGAACAAACTAAGTTGGAGTATTTGGCGCTTCAGAAAGAAACCCTTCATAATATAAGCAAATAGCTGATATGAATCTTCCTATGTAACCAAAAAATAATGTTTTGAAAGGCTTATTGTTGGCACTCATGAAGTACACAAATTTGCAGAATGATAGATAAGATTCCTCGAGGTTCAATATTCAGTTTTCAGTTTTCTGAAAGAAAGTTTGACGTAAATAAAGATTTTGCAAACTTCAGATCGAAAATGCAAACTCTGTATATAGCAAAATCTTTAGTTGGCATCATCAAATTAAATTGGATCCGCTAACGTCGAAATTACAAACAACTATAAAAATATCAAAAACATCAATTGCTCCTTTGAGAGTATTTGATAACATTGAAAATGAGGACATATGTTAGTAAAACATAAAATTCAAAACTTTTTATAACTTTGAAGGCAGGTTATTTAACCTGCAAAGCAATCACGGTAGCTGACCTGCATGTTGAAGGCAACCATCTGAGCACCATGTACCCAACCAGTCATTGGATTGTAATTAGAAGACCTAACACGTGTGCCCTTTGGATAAATTCTAAGTATATTCTTTTGAGTGAACCTAGAAAATAAACATCATAAATATCAAGCATTTTTACATGTTCTTGGCATATACATTTGTCTTAAAATTCTTATTTCCGTCGCACTCTTCTCTGTAGAAAACATGTTGAGATATAAGACAATGAATGAACATAACATACTAGATTTTTAAAAAACAGGGAAGTTTAAGCAGCCTCCCTTCAAATATAATGGAAAATTTACATACATACCATTCAATTCCTATGCATTTACATTTCTAACACCCAGACTTTAATTTTTATGTACATTTTGAAGAAAGATGGAAAAAATTGTAATCTTGTTTCGTAATCATTGAATTACATCTCTTCTCCTTATATAAGTAAGGCTAGGGAAAACTTAATTCCTGCAATTATAACTTACCAAATATACAATAACCAAGAAAAGAAAAGAAAAGAAACGGAACATAGTTAGAGAAAAATAAAAGAGAATAAATCTAAAATAAATAACTCATAATTCCACTCCCCCTCAAGTTGGGTCATAGAAGTTGTAAAGACCCGGCTTCATATTAAATACACAATAACCAACAAACGAAAATAAATAGAAAATAATGAGAAAGAAAAAAAGAGAATAAATCTAAAATAGGAAACACGAATTCCACACTCCCCCACAAGTTGAGTCATAGATGTTGTAAAAACACAACTTGGTATTAAAATCAGTGAAGCTGCCTTGAGGTAAAAATTTAGTGAAGACGTCAACAATTTAAAGATGAGTTAGAATGTACATTAAGTGAATAATGCTTCCATTAATCTTCTCGGAGATAAAATGTCTATCAATCTCAATGTGTTCGATCATGTTATGATGCACAAGATTCTTTGAAATACTAAAGACAGTTTGGTTGTCACAGGACATTTTTATGGGATTGACAGTAGAATAACTCAACTCATTAAGTAACCTTTGGATCTGCATTTCTTCACAAATTCTCAAAATGAGTGCATAGTACTCAAATTTTGCACTACTTCTAGAGACCACAACTTGCTTATTGCTCCTCCAAGTGACAAGATTTCCCAAGACAAAGGAACAATACCCATATTTGAAGCTTTTGTTTGTGAGTTCTCCTGCCCAAATAATATCAAAGTAAAATACTACCTTCTAGTTGTCATATTTCTTAATATCAGAAGTTCTTAAGATATCACAATATTCCATAAATCATATCCAAAATGTTATTCATTTGGATTATTCATATATTGACTCACAATGCCGACGGTATAAGCAATAAGGTTGATTACGTGATAAAAAGATAAGTTCAACCCCCCTCCCCCCAACAAGGCTCCAGTATCTACCCTTTTCCACAGGTGTTTTTTTCCTCCTAAATGCAACATTTTATTAAAATCCATAGAAATATTAGCAGGTTTGCACCCTAGCATTTTTATCTCTTTTAGTATATCTAAGGTGTACTTTCTTTGGTATATCACAATACCCATCTTGGACTTGGCCACTTTCATATGCCCAGAAAGTATATCATCACTCCTAGATCCTTAATTTCAAACTTAGAGGCAAGGCCTCCATCTTCCCAATATCCTTCTAATCATTACATGTCATCATATCATCCACATAAACAATGGGTATAGCCTTCTTACCTCCCCGTGTATGTTTTATGAACAATGTATATCCATTAGATTTCATAATCTTTGCAAAATTGTCAACCCAAGCCCTTGGAGATTATTTGAGACCATGATATAACTTTCTATTTTACAAATTAGATGTTTATTTGAGTCATTTTTCAATCTTAATGGGATTTTTATATAAACTTTTTTCCTCGGCCTCAGTTAAAAAATGCATTCTTGATATCAATGTGACATAGTTCTTACTCTTTATTCACTATCAAAGAAAGAAGAATTCTTATATTATTTAACTTGGCCACTAAAACAAATGTCTTTTGATAGTCTATCCCATAAGACTGAGTGAAATCTTTAGCTACCAACTGTTGACCTCAATTTTCGTGAGGTCTAGTTTTTCTCGTAGGAGTTAGGATCTAGCCTTAGGGGTCTTCCTGCGATTATCTTAGAACCTTAGAAGTGGTGCCCGCCTCGTTTTAAGTTCGACCTATTTCCGTTCTCTTTTGTGGTTCCAAGTGTGTGGTATCGACTTCTAGCATTTAGAAGGGTGAAACCAACATGAGGAAACCCAAAAGGGATCCCTATAGGACCTTTTTGAGCCTTAGGGTGGCCTTCTGCACAATTCGCACTCCCGCGCGCACAAACTTCGCAATTCGGAGAGCCAACACGTCCGATCGCCATAATTCACATCGCTTGCACTGTTACCCGTCGAAGACTCGAATGAAATTTTTGAAACAATCGATCGCAGGTCGATTTTTTGTGAAGTTTGAATTTCGACGCGTTTTGACCTGATTGTCGGCGACGTCGTCCGAGCGACCCCGGATGACGAAACGGACTGCGCCAACGCGTCCGGAACGTCAATTTTGCCTAGGGAGGACACCTATTTTGTCGCATCGTCGTGCGCGGGTAAAATG